CAAGCACTTAAAATGAGGAAATAAAAACCGAAGGGCACAGTCAAGCGTACGCTGCCCACATGATAAACAATCTTCATTCTTTTCAGGACAAAGAAATGCATATTTCTTCGCTCTTCAAGAAACCATATCTTTCCATTCCTTAATTTCTCTCATTATTTGGCAACAAGAGTGAGTCATTCTTTGTGGATTGATCTGTTTCAGAGCACCACATAGGAAGAAGGGAGCAGTCTAGATCGGGCATGGACAAACATTGGCCCTCCATTTGTTTTGGACCAACTCCTGGATCAACTACATCTAAGACTATTGAAGGAACTAGCAGAAGTCATCCCGGAACCACTTGGCAATCATATTTGAGAGGTCTTGAAGAATGGGACAGATTGGAGGAGGGCAAATGTGTTCCCTATCTATCTTCAAGAAGGGAAACAAGGACAACCCAAACAATTACTGTCCAGTCAGCCTCATGTCGATACCAGGCAAGATTCTGGAAAAGATTGTTAAGGAAGTGGTCTGCAAACACTTAGAAACGAATGCGGTCATCGCTAATTGTCAACATGGATTTGTCAAAAACAAGTCATGCCAGATTAATCTGAACTCTTTTTTTGATAAAGTTACAAGCTGGGTAGATGAAGGGAATGCCGTGGATGTAGCATATCTGGATTTCAGTAAGGCCTTTGACAAGGTCCCCCATGACCTTCTGACAAACAAACTAGTCAAATGTGGGCTAGGCAAAACTCCGATTAGGTGGATCTGTAATTGGTTAAGCGAACAAACCCAGAGGGTAATCACCAATGCTTCCTCTTCGTCCTGGAAAGAAGTGACGAGTGGAGTGCCATAAGCAGGGTTCCGTCCTGGGCCCGGTCCTGTTCAACACCTTTATTAATGACTGAGATGAGGGGCTAGAAGGCATGATCATCAAGTTTGCAGACGACACCAAATTGGGAGGGATAGCCAATGTCCCAGAAGACAGGAACAGAATTCAAAACAATCTTAACAGATTAGAGAGATGGGCCAAAACTAACAAAATGAAGGTCAGTGGTGACAAATGCAAAGATACTCCACTTCGTCAGGAAAAAAATGAAATGCAAAGTTACAGAATGGGGGGTGCCTGCCTCAAGAGCAGTACGTGTGAAAAAGATCTTGGAGTTCTTTTGGACAACAAGTTAAACATGAGCCAACAATGTCAGCCGGTGGGAAAAAAAGCCATTGGGATTTTGGCCTGCATAAGTAGGAGTCTAGTGGCTATATCCAGGGAGGTCATGGTACTGCTCTATTTTGCTTTGGTTAGACCACACCTGGAATCACACTGCATCCAGTTCTGGGCACCACAGTTGAAGGGAGATGTTGACAAGCTGAAATGTGTCCCGAGAAAGGTAACTAAAATGATCAAGGGTCTGGAGAACAAGCCCTATGAGGAGCAGCTTAAAGAGCTGGGCATGTTTAGCCTGCAGAAGAGAAGGCTAAGAGGAGACATGATGGCCATGTATAAATATGTGAGGGGAAGTCATAGAGAGGAGGGAGCAAGCTTGTTTTCTGCTGCCCTGGAGACTAGGACGCAGAACAATGGCTGCAAACTACAGGAAAGGAGATTCCACCTGAACATTAGGAAGAACTTCCTATCTGTGAGAGCTATTCAGCAGTGGAACTCTCTGCCCCGGAGTGTAGTGGAGGCTCCTTCTTTGGAGGCTTTTAAGTAAAGGCTAGATGGCTATCTGCCGGGGGTGCTTTGAATGTGCTTTTCCTGCATAGTTGGGGGTTGGGTTAGATGGCCTACGAGGTCTCTTCCAACTCAATGATTCAATGATTCTACTGCAATATTTTTCATCTTCCCAGAGAGCACCTGACTGGCTTCCACAAACTTAGGGTCAAGAGGAGGAAAATAGCCATGGAGGAGATCAGACACAAGCTGAAAGAAGAACAGAAGAAGATGAAGGAAGAGATACTTCTCTCTTTGAGGTTGGTCTACCTGAGAGAAGGGGTTCTGCAGTCAGTGTGACCGGTTGAAGAAGTCGGATGAGGATGCATGTTTAGCCTGCAGAAGAGAAGGCTGAGACAAGACATGACAGCCATGTATAAATATGTGAGGAGAAGTCATAGGAAGGAAGGAGCAGGCTTTTTTTCTGCTGCCCTGGAGACTAGGACACGGAACAATGGCTTCAAACGACAAGAAACTTCCTAACTGTGAGAGCTGTTCAGCAGTGGAACTCTCTGCCCTGGAGTGTGGTGGAGGCTTCTTCTTTGGTGGCTTTTAAACAGAAGGTGGATGACCATCTGTCAGAGGTGCTTTGAAGGTGGTTTTCTTGCTTATTTGCAGGAGTCTCTTCCAACTTTAGAAATCTATGTTCAGAAGGTTTGCCTTTGCCGCTTTCTGAGGCTGAGAGAGTGCAACTTGGCCAAGATCATAGGATTTCCATGTTGTTCTGTGTGCAGAGGCGGCCCTAGGTAATTTTCAACTGTAAGCAAACAGTATTTTCCCCCCCCCCCAATCACTGATATATATTTTCTGTTCGTCGTGGGAGTTCTGTGTGCCATATTTGGTTCAATTCCATCATTGGTGGAGTTCAGAATGCTCTTTGATTGTAGGTGAACTATACATCCCAGTAACTACAACTCGCATATGTCAAGGTCTATTTTCCCCCAAGAGCGCCTCAAGAGTGCCCCTGGGCAAAATCAACGATATTGCCAGTGCCAATGCTTACTTTGCGTAATGGGTTGAGCTGCCCCTGTCTGTGTGGGAAGTTTGACCCAATTCCATCATTGGTGGGGTTCAGAATGCTCTTTGATTGTAGGTGAACTATAAATCCCAGCAACTACAACTCCCAAATCTCAATGTCCCCAAACTCCACCAGAGTTCACATTTGGGCATATTGAGTATCTGTGCCAAGTTTGGTCCAGATCCGTCATTGTTTGAGTCCACAGTGCTCTCTGACTGTAGGTGAACTGCAACTCCAAAACTCAAGGCCAATGCCCACCAAACCCTTCCAATATTTTCTGTTGATAATGGGAATTCTTTGTGCCAAGTTTTTTTTCAATGCCATCGTTTGTGGAATTCAGAATGCTCTTTGATTGTAGGTGAACTATAAATCCCAACAAGTACAACTCCCAAATGACAATATCAATCCTCCCCCAACCCCACCAGTATTCAGATGTGATCATATCGGGTATTTGTGCCAGATTTAATCCAGTGAATGAAAATACATTCTGCATATCAGATATTTACATTATGCTTCATAACAGTAACAAAATTACAGTTATGAAGTAGCAATGAAAGTAATGTTCTGGTTGGAGGGTCACCACGACATGAGGAACCGTATTAAGGGGTTTTTATTTGTCGTGTCAGGGCAACCAGCCACTTATATTACATTTCTAACAGAACAAAGCAAACAAACAAAGAAACAGACAAAATACAGAATTTGTGAGTTTGGTAGTTGATTAAATGTCCCAGTATCTGGCCATTTGGAGTGCTTCTGGTGTTGCTGCAAGAAGGTCCTCCATTGTGCATGTGGCTGGGCTCAGGTTGCATTGCAGCAGGTGGTCAGTGGTTTGCCCTTCTCCACACTTGCATGTCGAGGATTCCACTTTGTAGCCCCATTTCTGAAGGTTGGCTCTGCATCTTGTGGTGCCAGAGCGCAGTCTGTTCAGTGCCTTCCAAGTCGCCCAGTCTTCTGTGTGCCCAGGGGGGAGTCTCTCGTTTGGTATAAGCCATTGGTTGAGGTTGTGGGTTTGAGCCTGCCACTTTTGGACTCTCGCTTGCTGAGGTGTTCCAGCGAGTGTCTCTGTAGATCTCAGAAAACTATTTCTAGATTTAAGTCGTTGATGTGCTGGCTGATATCCAAACAAGGGATGAGCTGAAAATGCCTCTGCCTTGGTCCTTTCACTATTGGCTGCTACTTCCCGGCGGATGTCAAGTGGTGCGATACCGGCTAAGCCGTGTAATTTCTCCAGTGGTGTGGGGCGCAGACACCCCATGATAATGCGGCATGTCTCATTAAGAGCCACATCTACTGTTTTAGTGTGGTGAGATTTGTTCCACACTGGGCATGCATACTCCGCAGCAGAGTAGCACAGCACAAGGGCAGATGTCTTCACTGTATCTGGTTGTGATCCCCAGGTTGTGCCAGTCAGCTTTCGTATGATATTGTTTCTAGCACCCACTTTTTGCTTGGTGTTCAGGCAGTGCTTCTTGTAGGTAAGAGCAAGGGGTGGCAGCATTAGGAAGGCTGAGAAACACTCTCCTAGACTATCAAGGCAGAAAATTCCACATTTCCTGCTTTGAACTGGAATATATGGCAGTGTGGACTCAGATAACACAGTTCAAAGCAGATACTGTGGGATTTTCTGCCTTGATATGCTGGGATGTAGGCCTGTGTGGATGGGCCCTATCTTGAGACAGGGGACAGGCGTTTCCCCCTCCCATCTCTCCTTCCCAAGGCGGGAAACAACCAACTTGTTGCTGGTTGTTGCTCCTTCCTCCCCCTTTCCGCGCTTCTTCGCCCGCTCTCCTCGCCTTCCTTGGCGCTGCGCTTTGGGTCCAGCCCGCGATTGCCCCGCGGTAACCATGGCGACGCTTCTCTATCGCGCGGTGGAAGCGGGACTTTGCCCGGGCAACGTTCCATCGAGGGGAACCTCCTTTCGTCACTGGGCCGGGCAGCCAATCAGGAGCCGGGGCGAGGGATTCCCGCTCCAGTTGCCGCTTATTCTGTCTTTTTAAATGGTTCCAACTTGGAGCCGCTTTCAGAGGGAAGAGGGCATCATCCATCCCCCATGGAGATGGGAGATGTAGTCAGCAGGAGGGCGCAAAGATCAAGGGAGGAACTCAGTCCTTTTCAATGGGAGCCCGAAGAAGAGCAGGAAGGGGGAGCTAGATTGCCCTCCCAGGGGTCTGGAGATAGCCTAAGAGAGAAAAGTCCCCGCAGTGGGGTCTGATCAGTAGGAAAAGTGCAGGAGATTGTTCAGTTCCAGCCAAAGTGAGCGCCATCAGGCAAACCTTCCCTTAGTCTGAGATGGAGTGGAAGTTAGAAAGATCTGCAGCCCCCAAAGTCAAGACGGATGAAGATGTCTTGTGGGTAAATTCGCATTCATCATCACAGTTTGACTCCAGGGCAGCATTTCCACCAGGCTAAGGGCCAACTTGGGCCCTCCAGGTGTTTTGGACTTCGACTCCCACTATTCCTAACAACCTCAGGCCCCTTCCTTTTCACCCCCAGGTATTTTGGGCCCTCCAGGTGTTTTGGACTTCAACTCCCACCATTCCTAACAGCCTCAGGCTCCTTCCTTTTCCCCTCCAGGTATTTGGGGCCCTCCAGGTGTTTTGGACTTCAACTCCCACCATTCCTAATAGACTCAGGCTCCTTCCTTTTCACCCCCAGGTATTTTTTGCCCTCCAGGTGTTTTGGACTTTGATTCCCACCATTCCTAACAACCTCAGGTCCTTTCCTTTTTCCCTCCGGGTATTTTGCACCCTCCAGGTGTTTTGGACTTTGATTCCCACCATTCCTAAGAGCCTCAGGACCCTTCCTTTTCCCCTCCAGGTATTTTGGGCCCTCCGCGTGTTTTGGACTTCGACCCACCATTCCTAACAACCTCAGGCCCTTTTCTTTTCCCCTCTGGGTATTTTGCACCCTCCAGGTGTTTTGGACTTGGACTCCCACCATTCCTAACAGCCTCGGGCTCCTTCCTTTTCCCCTCCAGGTATTTTGGGCCCTCTGGGTGTTTTGGACTTCAACTCCCATCATTCCTAACAGCCTCAGGCTCCTTCCTTTCCCCCTCCAGGTATTTTGGACCCTCCAGGTGTTTTGGACTTCGACTCCCACCATTCCTAACAGCTTCAGGCCCCTTCCTTTCCCCCTCCAGGTATTTTGGACCCTCCAGGTGTTTTGGACTTCAACTCCCACCATTCCTAACAGCCTCAGGCCCCTTCTTTGTCCCTCTCAGCTGCTTAAGCTGAGGGGTAAAAGGTAAGAACCTCAGTCTATTAGGAATGGTGGGACTTGAAGTCCAAAACACCCAGAGGGCCCAAGTTGGCTCTTAGCCTTCTCTACACTATTCAGTTTGGTATCACTTTACAATCTACTGCCTGGAAATTAAACAGTACCGCTATTTTGTTGTTTGTTTACTTGTCACGCACCATGTACAGTCACTGTGTTATGTAAATAAATCGTGGTTATGAATGATAATTAAATGCTTGTATGATTGTTTTGAAGGAAAAAATCATGAAAACCCTTGGGAGAGACCTCAGGTGGACTAGAGAACAACACTCGCTCAACAGGACACCAAGAAAGGTGAGGCAATATGTGAAACTGAAGGATTAATTCTCTGTCACCTTTTCTTTGCAAACCATTGGGTCCATGGTGAAGTTTGGGCCCAATCCATGCTGCTGTTTAAAACTTATTTATTTACTTAGGCGATCCTTCATAGCCCAAGGATGATGGTCCTCCAAGTGGGTCCTTAGGTGGCTGTGGAGCCCTATTCTTGATCCGCATGTTCTCCTACAGCGAGGACATCGGTTTCCAGGTGGAAGGCAGTCCCAGTCAGGGTTGGCTTGACATGCCTTCCTCTTGGCATGTTTCTCCCTTTCACCCTCCCCACCCTCCATTCATGTCTCTTTGAATTCTGCAGCACTGCTGGTCACAGCTGACCTCCAGTTAGAGTGCTCAAGGGCCAGGGCTTTCCAGTTCTTGATGTCTATGCCACAGTTTTTAAGGTTGGTTTTAAGCCCATCTTTAATTTCTTTTCCTGTCCACCAACATTTCTGTTCTTGAGTTGGGAACATAGTAATTGTTTTGGACAACATGGCCAGTCCAACGGAGTTGATGGAGGAGGAGCATCGCTTCAATGCTGGTGGTCTTTGTTTCTTCCAGCACACTGACATTTGTCCACCTTTCTTCCCAAGAGATTTGCAGTATTTTTCGGAGGCAATGCTGATGGAATGTAATGCAGCCATTTAAAATTGCATTATATGGTTAATGTAGACTCAGAAAATGCAGTTCGGTACAATTAAACTACATTATATGAGTCTACACCAGGCATGGGCAAACTTCGCCCCTAACTAGATGTTAGGAATTGTGGGAGTTGATGTCCAAAACACCTGGAGGTGCTGTTTGCCCATGCTTGGTGTACACTAACCATCTCATGCAATTTCAAACTACATGATATGGCAGTGTAGATGGGGCACATTATGCTGATTATATTTATCATTGAGACACCTCAGTGCCTATAGCAATTCATTGTTGTGCTGTACATGAGAAAAAGCTGGCAGATAAAATGAATATGGGACTGTGTCGCTTTGGCAGTGCACCACTAGCTGGCTGTTGAGATATATTCATGTTTACAGCAGTTAGTTGCACTCCACATTGATGCTGTCCAAAACACTGCAAAAATAATGGAATTGCACCCCCTTGTGTATGCTACTGAGATGTCCACCTTGTATATTTCAGACCAATACGACTAGTTCTGGTGTTGCTAAGTGCAGCGTTGGTTTAGATTTATGGCAATCCTTTTATATGTTTTTCTTGGCAAGGTTTATTCAGAGGGGGTTTGACTTGGCTTTGTTATGAGGCTATAGGTCAATCCACACTGTAGAAGTTTTTCATTTCGTGTTAGGAGCGACTTGAGAAACTGCAAGTTGCTTCTGGTGTGAGAAAATTGGCCATCTGCAAGGACATTGCTCAGGGGACCTCAGATGTTTTACCATCCTGTGGGAGGCTTCTCTCATGTTCCTGCATGGGAAACTAGAGCTGACAGATGAGAGCTCATCCCACTCCCCAGATTCAAACTGACGATCTTTCAGTCAGCAGTCCTGCCAGGACAAGGGTTTAACCCCTTGTGCCACAGGGGGCTCCTGCTGTAGAAGTAATTCATTCTGATACCACACAGGTTCGAGTCCGGGGAGTAGCATGAGCTCCCGCTCTCAGCCCCAGCTTCTGCAAACCTAGCAGTTTGAAAACATGCAGATGTGAGTAGATTAATAGGTACTGCTCCGGCAGGCAGGTAACAGCGCTCCATGCAGTCATGCTGGCCACATGACCTTGAAGATGTCTATGGACAACGCTGGCTCTTCGGCTTAGAAATGGAGATGAGCACCACCCTCCAGAGTCGGACAATACTGGACTTAACATTAGGGGAAAACATTTATTTTTACCTTAAGCCAAATGACCGATTCATAACTTAGTGTCACATCCTCTGTTTTGAGGCTGCTTGACTATTAAATCCTTTGACTTTTTACCATGTTTTGTTGGCTGTTTCATATGACTCCTGCAGTTGTTACTGAACTCTTAGGCTCCTTCCATACTATATCCTATATCCCAGGATTCGGTCCCAGATTATCTGGCAGTGTAGACTTATATAATCAAGTTCAAAGCAGATAATATTGGATCGGATCCTGGATTATAAGGCAGTGTGGAAGAGGCCTTAGATGTTGCAGGAATTCATGTCTGGAAAATGATGACACAGAGCTGTGTGTGTGTGTGTAGTGGAATGGCAGTGTATTGTTAGCTGGATGAGTATCTCCATAGCCCCAACTGACATTCAGCTGCCAATCTACGGCACATATTTTGATCATCAAACCACCAAAAATGATCTGAGCAGAAATATTTTTAAGCAATGGCTATTCTTCCTTGTTGCTTTAACTTGTTACTGGCTATTTTTAATGATTTTAAAATTATATTTTAGAATTTTGATGATATAAAAACAAATAAATTCTATATACATTACTTAGCAATGCAACATCAACAGACTTTTAGATAATTTAACATTAACCTTTTACACTAACACTAATTTCTCTGGTTGCATATTATCTATCTATCTATCTATCTATCTATCTATCTATCTATCTATCTAGGATACTAGGTATTTGCTAATATTGCTACAAGTGTAGTATTTCCTTGAGTATTCTACTTTTGATTTTTGCATTGGACAGTCATACTAGGGATTCTATGAGTTCTGAAAGCTTGCAATTATTTCAGTTATTTCACTAAATGGTTCTCATCCTAGCATGCATCTCTGATACCATAATGTGCCAGTATTCTCTGTATGTGATGGTTTGGCAGTGTACTCTTAGTTAGCTGTTGTATATATTGCAGCAACTAAATACACTTCCATATTATTGCATGACCTTGCACCATTGCTTAGTGCCTTAAATTTTTCTCTGTGTGAGAGAACTGCAGCAGCAGCAGCCCTCACTGTGTAAACCAGAGGTGAGAAATATGTGTGTATTGTACACTCTGTCTTTAGTTGCTTGATCCATCCATTCCACATTTCCTTATCTTTTAAAATGTATTGCCAGTTGATGAAAGGGAGAAAGTAAGCTATGACTTTGTGAGTTCTGTGCTACTTCTGGATTTGTAATGTAAGTTCTCAAGATGTTGCTGCCTTTCAAGAGGTGATGGTCAAGAACATCTGGGGCCAAAGATGGGAAGCTAATGCTGTCAGACATGTAACATACCGTCATATTATTGGCCTACATTAGCTGTGCAGTTTAGAAGCTGCAGTATGACAATATGGTGAGCTATATGATTTCTATCCAATGGTTTAGATTTTTTTTTGTGTGTCTGTGTATCAGGAGCGACTTGAGAAACTGCAAGTCACTTCTGGTGTGAGAGAATTGGCCATAATGTTGCTCAGTGGACACCCAGATGTTTTACCATCCTGTGGGAGGCTTCTCTCAAGTCCCCGCATGAAAAGCTGGAGCTGACAGATGGGATCTCAACCCGCTCTCCGGATTCGAACTGTTGAACTTTTGGTCAGCAGTCCTGCTGGCACAAGGGTTTAACCCATTGTGCCAGTATGGGCTCCCAATGGTTTAGATATGAGGGTAGGGCCAAAATGAGGGCATTGCCCCACAACAGGAATTCTCTCCCTTTCCAAGAAATGTCCTTTCGGTCACAAAATGTTTAGCCTTTCAAACTGAAAATAGCTCACACTTAAAACTGTCCTATTTACTATCTCTCAGAATGTCAACACAGAAAGAAAAGGTCGATTTTCTCCCCCCTCCCCATCCCCAAAAGCCACAGCCCTTTTCCTCAGAGTCATCCAACTGTACTCTAATCCAAAATGGATAGAATCAGTTTCTAATGAGAATATTTAAGATGATATTAGTTGCAACATGGATTTCATTTTGCCTTTTTTACTCTTGTGTCACATCTCAAGCTTTGGCTTTTTAGATTTTTGAACTTCAAATCTCAAAATCCTTAGCCATTCAGCAGGTTAGCTGGGGATTCTAGGAATTAAAGTTTTAAATAACTAAAAGATATTTGAGAGTCACTCTTCTATTTGGTACAGTATTATAACTGACAGTTCCACAAAGAGTATGCATATGAGAGAGGTTCAGGGGATATTAAAGCATCCTAGACTGGAGGGAAGAGACTCTGTGGATGTCTAGTTTTTCTTGAAACTACAAACCTCATTGGGAGGATGGGGCTTTGCCAAGAGTGGTTTTTGGAGTGCCAACACAAGGAATACTATGTAATAAATATTTTAGCCTGTATCTCAGCATAATAGTGACACTGAGCATTGGTAGCTTTGTTATTTTAGACAGTACAGGGTGGAAAACTGAATGCCTGAGTTGACTGAGTGTCTAAATCTATTTTCACAGGGCATCGTTGACTCACAGCTGTTGCATAGGAGAAACATATCAAAGCTGGATAATCAGGAGAATCCAATAACGGAGGTACAAATATGTGGGAATTCTTCTGAATGGGCTTCAAGATATAAGCTGTGAATAAGACAGAATAAAGTAAAGGATCATAAAATCGTAGAATCATAGAATTGGAAGAGACCTCATGGGCCATCTAGTCCAACCCCCCACCAAGAAGCAGAAAAATTGCCTTCAAAGCACCCCCAACTGATGGCCATCCAGCCTCTGTTTAAAAACCTTCAAAGAAGGACCCTCCACCACACTCCGGGGCAGAGAGTTCCACTGCTGAACAGCTCTCACAGTTAGGAAGTTCTTCCTAATGTTCAGGTGGAATCTCCTTTCCTGTAGTTTGAAGCCATTGTTCCACATCCTACCCTCCCCAAAGATCTTAGACAGGCCCCTACATTGGCAGTCTTACGGAAAGAACTTGAAGACCTGGCTGTTCCGATGTGCCTTCCCCGAATAGGAAACCTCCAATACCAAGTCCATAAGCATTTTATTAAATTAAGATTGCCGCACACTGCACACTGCACTTGCCCTATTAGCCTTATAGTCCACCTGTCACACCAGCACTTTTTAACTCTTGTACCCATTACTCTGGCCCGGCCCAGGTTTATTGCGTCTTAGTGCATTGTTTATTACTTGTTGTTTAGTTTGCTTAACTGTTTTTAATTTGCCTTAGGTTTTGTATTGTTGTACTGTGTGTTGAGGCCTTGGCCTTTGTAAGCCGCATCGAGTCCTTCGGGAGATGCTAGTGGGGTACAAATAAAGTTTAATAATAATAATAGTCTTCAAGGCAGCAAAAAACATGTTTGTTCTCCGCTCCCTATGACGTCCCTTCACATATTTATACATGACCCTCATAATGTCTCCTCTCAGCCTTCTCTTCTTCAGGCTAAACATGCCCAGCTCCTTAAATTGCTCCTCATAGGGCTTGTTCTCCAGACCATTGATCATTTTAGTCGCCCTCCTCTGGACACATTCCAGCTTGTCACCATCTCCCTTAAACTGCGGTGCCGAGAATTGGACACAGTATTCCAGATTTGACACTCCAAATATAATATGGAAACTTTCCCATCTCCTAATTAGGGCTGACAACGATTGAATGTCATGTTGGCTGACCGCAGTGTTAGATTATAACAAAATGTTGGGAATTGATTTATATTATACACAGGTGAGCTGTTTTCAATCCCCTTCCAAGATATTTTGAAAATTAAAAAGGAATATAATTCCACAAACTGAGTATAACCCAAAAATCATGTTATTCTGGTTAGAAAAAACTCCAGCGTATGTACATTACTTTTTCTCCTTTTAACTTCAACAATAACTTTCAAGAATGTTCTTAATGAATTCACTGGTGCATAGCACAACATGGTTTTCTGTATTTGTGTGCAAACCAATGTTTCAAAGAAAAAACAAACCACACCAGAGTTGAATTTTCCTATCTCTTTTAAAAAATAAAATTAAATAAAACTACTTATTTACATTTTGGGGGGCATTTCCCCACACAATGCAACCATTTCCTGATACAAAGCTAGGCTGTATAGTGAATATACCATTTTGCATGAAATGGTTCAATGTCTGGAAAATCTGATAAATAGCTTGCTCAGAAACAAAAATATTTTCATTCAATTAATTTCTGTGTTCAATGAATGGAGTGTATTTTGCAATTTACTTTTTTTACAATGCAACATTCCAGAATCATATTGAAAATCAGCCTAACTTCCAAAGAACCAAGATGGAACCAATAGGAGGGCTTTCAGATGATGACTCATTTCTGGATTGAACTGATGGGCAGCATCACATAATACTAGGGAATTGTTTCTATAAGTTTCTTTTACCATTTTATCTGCTTATTCCCATGGGCTGTGCATAACCTAGGGATATTCAAGTTCTGTCAGAGGCTATAGGGTGTTTTGGACTTCAACTCCCTTTCCCACAGCCTTCCAGGTGTTTTGGACTTCAACTCCCACAATTCCTAACAGATTAAGAGACTGCGAGAGAAAAGAAAAGGGCCTGAGGCTGTTAGGAATTGTGGAAGTTGAAGTCCAAAACACCTGGAGGACCAAAGTTTGCCCATGCCTGCTCTAGGGAATAGCATAGTTATGCAAACTGGGAGCATTATGGAAAAGACTCCTGAAGGATGTATGCTCACTGGTATACTAAACAATGATAATCTGAAGCCAGGATTTGTAGATTTTTTTTGTTATCCTTAAATCATGTGATCAGTTACTAAGTTTCATATGCAACGGGGGGTCACTTGGAAAAGCTCCTTAGATGATTATGGCTCAATATCATATTCACTGCATAGATTGACTTTCTGCATTTTTACAATGGTTTCTTTAGTCAGATATGCTGGTCATGCATTTTTGAAGAGGGTATCTCTGGGGCTAAGTTGGATAAAGTGCTATTTTAAGGCACCCATATTCTTCTTTGCTTCACTTATCCTCAGTAAGTCCTAAACATGTCAGAAGCTACTATGAAATTCATCAGCAAAATGTCCCACTGGTTGCTTTTTTTACCCTACTTCAGGAGGAAAGTATGAAAGCACTTCGCAGAAATTGTGTCATTCAGAAGTCCCATAGCATAACTGCCTTTTCAGAGGTCCTCTCTCTTTTTCAAAATGATCTGTCTAACCAGAGCAGCAATATCTGGCTTGATATTTTCTATGGGCTCTTCCGGTCTCCAGAATTTCACAACTTTGCCTTCTGGACTGACAAGATACTTCCAGAAATTCCACTTTGGCTCTTTCTTGGATGATTCTGCAAGAACAACAAATGGCACATTTAGATTGCAAGTTTTGATCAGTAGAGGCAATGGGCTGTAATAATAATAATAATAATCATCATCATCATCATCATCATCATCATCATTTATACCCCGCCACCATCTTCCCAAAGGGGACTTGGGGTAGCTAACATGAGGCCAAGTCCGAAGATAAAATACAGCAAAATAAAATACAAAACAACAAACATACATAAAATAACAAGATAAAAATAAATAGTGCAAAAAAACCCCAGTGCAAAATAACATAATAGAAAGTCAAACACAACGGGCGGGCCAAATGCACAAGATAAAATGATAAAACCCTGGGTGAGATAGGAGTGGAAAAAGTGTATTTGTGAGGGAGGAGCCCAAAAAGGATGAATAGTAGGGTTAGGCCTTCATTAAGGATGGGGGAAAGTGCATTATGAGGACAACAGTGTAGATGGAACAGACAGAAATGGGATGTATGGTCACTCCAATCCAAAGGCACATCAGAAGAGCCATATTGATTCTCTGAAATGGACCCACTTCTGTACTCTTTTTCTTTAGGTTCTGTAATAAGAAACTAGAGAGGCAGTGTGGTATAACTGAGCACTGGACTATGATTCTGGGTTTGATTTCCCACTTGACCATGGAAACACACTGGTTGACCTTGGGCTCAGTCTCAGAAAACACAATTAGGGTCATCTTAAGCTTGTCATGAGTTAGAAATGACTTGAAGACACACAACAACAGTAAGAATCCTGCAGCTCAAGATGGATTCCAGTCAAAATGTCAACTTCAGCCTTCCTCATCATTTGGCATTGCTTATGTTTATCTCTCCCTCTTGAAAGCTTTCCTTCTCCTATGAGATGCTCAATTAGCCTTTTCTTCTAGACCATTTCTAGAGACTACTGCATTATTTATTCTGGTTTCTTAGCTCTATTCTGGTTCTCTTTGGTCCTAGGTTCTCCTGCCTTCTTCTGCACCCCACCAGTAAACAGCAGCAGTGGTTCTTCCCTTCATAACAGCAGTGATTAGAAAGTAGTGTGTAGATTGATCCTTACACTCCATTTGCTTAATGTAAGCCGCAGTAGTAGCAGTAGTAGTAGTAGTAGTAGTACTAATAATAACAACACTTTATTTATATTACGCCCTTCTCCCCAAGGGGACTCAGAGAGGATTGCAGTATATGTAAATAGATACAGGCAAACATTCAATGCCTTGTTACAATACAATGAGACACATACACACAGACAAAGGCAAAGGCTTCTCCTTTCATCTCTGGCTCTGGCGGAGGTACTCCATTTCCAAGCTAAGGAGCCTGCATTGTCACCTCCTGGTTGTGTGGTTGTTATGACTGCTTGGAGCATCTTTTTGTCTTTTCCGCTGAAGCAGTACCTATTTATCTACTCACATTTGCATGTTTTTGCCCTGCTAGGTTGGCAGGAGCTAGGGCTGACAGCAGGAGCTCAACCTATCCCATGGATTCCAACTGTTAACCTTCAGGTCAGCAGTTCAACAGCACAAGGGTTTAACCCATTGCACCACTGCGCCCCCCTACCTATTTTATTTATTTATTTATTTATTTATTTATTTATTTATTTACAGTATTTATATTCTGCCCTTCTCACCCCGCAGGGGACTCAGGGCAGATTACAATGTACACATATATGGCAAACATTCAATGCCAAAGACACACAACAGATATAGACAAACAGTCAGAGGCTATTTAACTTTTTCTGGCCTCCAGGGGAGCTGTCGCTTTCATCGCCCATCTGCGACACTGATGAAGTACTTCCGCATTTACCGCATGCTTTTTGCTGGAGTGCTTTGCTGGAGTCTTTTTGTACCTAACTATCCCTTACAGTATCTACCTACTTGAAAAATCCCAGAGAGGGACAGAAAAGGAGAAGATAGAAGAATGGGCTAAGCTCAACCAAAGGTTGCTGCAGGACACACCTAACCCCATCATCAGTTTAGAAGCTTTGTCACCACCATACAATTCCAGTGAACATAGCAATTAATAAAGACAATACTAACCTGGTTCTTATAAAATAAAAGCTGGTAAGCTGCATTCTCTGTGTATTTGCTATCCACCAATTCCCTAAATGTACTGTTGCAGAAGAACGCAAAACAGTTTGCATAACGAAAGGAACCCAAGCTTACCTATCAGGAATTTGAAAGCTGGTGATGCTTCAGTCCCTAGAATCTTAATTTTGTTGAAAATGGGGAAAGATACTCCATAATTTGATTTTGCAAAGTAGGTGATCTCCTGGATTGTGCCGGGCTCTGATTCTCCGTACTGATTGCAGGGGAAGGCCAGCACTGTGAAGTGGGTTGATCCAAACTCTCTGTGGAGCTCCTGCAGCATGACGTAGCTTTTGTCTGTGTGCTGGCAATGACTAGCCACGTTTACAACCAGAGATGCCTTCCAGAAAGAAGGGAAATGGGACAATTAAATGATATTAACATAGCATGTATCTCTGTTCTGGTCATCTCAGCAATTTAAATACAGAGAAGCACATGTGCTCAACTTAACTTCAATTCAGGAAAAAATGCCACTGGCCATCACAATCTAAGTCTTTCCAATATGTTTAAAATAATAAGAATGGCATAAAAGCAAAGTACAAAGTTAGGTAAAGTGAAATATTTTGAAGTTGAATTTGTTAAAAATGGAAAGAATAAACAAATTAACTCTTGCTGAAATATAATTGAACATGATATTTAACATTATCAGCCCCAAGAGGATCAGGTCTCCAATGGCTCAGAATAACATGAGAACTGAAGTCCAGAACTATTTACTTAAAAGATCTCATGAATTTTGATTCATGAAATATGTATTACGTTCAGCAAAGAACCGCTGGATCATACTTATATCTCCAAAATGCAGATGTTTGGCATTATGTCTCTTTAATAAAATGTGGAATTATTTTGATGGATTATATAAGAACTGGAATTTTAGATCAGCTGCCCAGGGCCCTTCCACACAACCATAAAACCCAGAATATCAAGGCAGAATAACCCACAATATTTGCTTTGAACTGGATTATCTGAGTCCACACTGCTATATATTCCATTTCAAAGCAGATAATGTGGGATTTTATTCAGCTGTGTGGAAGGGGCCCCAGGTGCCAACTGCAGGATATCTGAAATAAGCAGTCTTCCCCTTTTGCAAATACAAGGTGGCCTTAGCAAAAGGCAAGGCAAGCTTTCAAGATGACATTGAACTCTATGTCCCATGAGCCAGCTTGGCCAATGACGAATTACGACTCGGAATTGCAAAATCAACATCTGGAAAGCCAGTTGTTCCCATCACACAGTCTTAAAATTACTTCACTGCAGCTTGGCTGTACACGTAAGCAAATATTACATTCCTCCAGAATCTTTCTAATTTCCTTACTCTATCAAAATGTTTTTTTAAAGAAATCTGTCTATATAAGGGACAACAGTGTTGCCATCTCTCTCCCTGTGAAAGATGTAAAATGAACTGTTACCCAGGATGGATGCAATTTGTCTGTATGATTTTGGAAACAAAAGCTCCCACTTACTTTGCCTCGGTACTTCTCCAAGGAAACACTCCTTCCTTTCGAATCTTTCACTTCAAAAGCATAAAAGTCTTTGACTTTGGCCTTGAAGAACTTCAGCTGCAGGAGGCCCAGCAAGGCGGTGAATAGCACCATAGAGAAGAAAACAACATAAACCCTGGTTTTCAGCTTGGAGCTTTTCAGAGAACACGCTGCAAGAGGCAGAGGCAGAGTCGGCTCCATTTTGGGGAATTTGAGGGGAAGTCTCAGCAGGCCTGGAATGTGAGGAGGAGCTGAAACATGAAACACAGAGCAGCAGCTCAGAAGTAGGGCAGGAGGGGTGCTTTCCTTGGGCTACATGCTGCTGAACACTGTCAGTGCAATCTCTGTTCAACTCCAAGTCAAGCTAGTGGGAAATAATGCAAGTTTTAAAAATTGCTTTGTTATGGTTCTTTTCACATATGCTGCCAAAACCTTTGGAAAGAATAGGGAAAGTTTATTGATTTATTTCTTTTAGAGGGTTTGGATCAACCCACTTCATAGTTTTGGCCTTCTGCAATCAGTACGGAAAATTGGAGCCTGGTACAATCCAGGAGATCACTTCTGAACCATAGTGGCTCATGTGAATATATTTGTTGTTGTATACCTTCAAGTCATTATGGTGCCCCTGGTGGTGCAGCAGGTTAAACCACCAAACTTGCTGACCAAAAGGTTGGTGGTTTGAATCCGGGGAGCAGGTTGAGCTCCCACTGTTAGCCCCAGCTTCTACCTACCTAACAGTTCGAAAACATGCAAATGTGAGTAGATTAATTAGTACTGCTTCTACAGGAAGGTAACAGTGCTCCATACAGTCATGCTGGCTACATGGCCTTGGCGGTGTCTATGGACAAGGCTGGCTCTTCGACTTCACCATCCCCCAGAGTTGGACACGACAAAATTAATGTCAAAGGAAAACCTTTACCTTTACCTAAGGCAAACTTATTAAGGGTTTGTTTTTTTGGGAGGGAGCAATACTTGTTCAGGGAGAGGGGCCCTTGCCTTCCTCTGAGACTGAGAATGTTACATGTTCAAGGTCACTCAGTGGGTTACCGTAGCTGAGTAGCTATACAAACCCTGGTTTCTAGAGTCATGGTCCAATGATTAAACCACATCATGTTGGTTAATGTAAATACACTTGCCTATATACAAATGCTTGTCCCAACTAGAGTTGAATGTATGGCTGATCGGTAAGACCACATTATCTCACCACTTGATCACCCATCCATATGGACACTGCCTCTGTCACACTTTCCCCACACCACTGATCAACATGGAGAAAGGGCATGGCTCATGTCACCACCACTACTAGCGAGCATTACTTGTTGCGCCTGTGATGTTAGAACAAGGCATCTGTGCGATCAGCAAGAAGGAGCAAAGATCAACTCCCTTCTTTTTCTCGACCATGTGAGTGCCCTGTTCTGACATTGCAAAGATGTTGCCCAGGGGACGCCCAGATGTTTTACCATCCTGTGGGAGTTTTCTCTCATGTCCTCGCATGGGAAGCTGGAGCTGACAGATGGGAGCTCATCCCACTTCTTGGATTCTTTGTTTTTAAATATGTTTTTTATTGCAGACACAGGCAGAATAATTTCACAGTCCATCACCATTTCAGAATACATATAAAATATAATTTTCTTAGTGTTCTTATCCTTGCCTGTTCCACCTTTATCTCCCACTTGTGTCTATCGATTTTACACCCCTCCCCGCTCCCCCACCCTCTGGGAACAATACTTGCCTTCATTCAAATATTATTTTAATTGAACAATCGTAGAAAGAGAATGGTCCAGTTCTTCATATTTTTCTTTTCCTTCAATTTTATTTATCAATCTTCCCCATTTCAAAACCCAATTCGTCTTGATTCGGCATGATGCATGTTTGGCTCTTCTTTCAAGGATGTAGTCTTGGAGCATCAAGTCTGCTAGGTATCCATACTATTTTTTAAATTCCCACTTTATATGGTGTTTCCAGCCCAAGGCCACAGTTACATGGGCGGCAATTATCATGTATTTTATAATTTCAATCTTTGATGTTTTCATTCTTATCTAATTTCTGGGTGAAAAATTATTTTTTTATTCAAAACCAATTTATGCCCTATTAATTCTTCCATTTCCTTCTTTACCTTATTATATATATATATTTGTACTCTGTCGCATTCCCACCACATATGTATATAGGAGCCAATTTTTCCACATCTGTGCCAACACAATTTTGTAGTTGATTTAGTTATGTGCAGTAATTTAATTGGGGTTCTGAACCATTTAGTCAGCATTTTCCTGGATTCAAACCTTTTGGTCGGTAGTCCTGATGGTACAAAAATTTAACCCACTGCGCCACCGGGGGCTCCATTTCCTAAGGTGAATAGAATGAGAAGTAAATTAAGACTAAACATTGATCTCAGCTAACTTAACAGTGAGTTGTTGCTTTTGTTTGCTTGTCCTGTTGAATTAAATTGATTTTAGTCCAAGGTAAGTGTGTATTAGGCTGCAATCTTAGTCAGAATCTCCAAGCATTATGTTCTACGAAAATAATAAAAAACCCTATTATTTAACTAAATACAGTATACTTCAGCCAGTGTTGTTACATGCATTTAGTTGACATAACAGAGTTTAAGTTCTTCAGTATCTCAAGAAATGTCTTTATTGCTGTTATTTGTTTTCAGACTCCTAGCAAGACCTCTTATTCAGAGTTTAAAAGCTGCATAGTGAAGAAGCTGGCATTCCAGACCCCCGTTGCTAGTAGCCCCATTTCCACAAGATGGCAGCAGGCATGCACTGGAAACCAGGCAGAGCAAACATCTGGAGAATTTCCTCCTGCTAGATATTCCACCTTTGGTCCTGGTTCTGATCTGAAAGACACAGCTAGGAAGATCACCGCAGTTCCAGGTATTGTGCACACCCTAAGTGAGACTGTTTGCAAAACCCAACAGATTTCTAATATACCTGGCAATCTGTTCAATTTACGACCAGCCTTTTCAACCCGGTGCCCTCAAGATATATATGATTCCAACTTCTCCAATCATCCCCACTAGCACGGCTATTAGTTTTCAGGCTGTGTTTGATAATATACCAAATACCGAAGTTAAAAATATCATTAAGTTAACTTTAAAATTAAAACCAGTTAAATTATAGTCACTGTTGTACACCTTCAAGTTGTTCTAAGTTTGAACCAATCACAGGGTTTTCATGGCATGATTTACTCAGGGGCAGATTTGCCTTTGCTTCCCTTTGAAGCTGATCGAATGTGACTTGCCCAGTGGAGATTCGGACCTTGGTCTCCAAAGTTGTAGCCTAGTGCTCAAACCAATGCCTCACATTGATTCAATGCCTACTAAAAAGTACAAATAAAACAGAAATAGATACTATAGCACAATTCTTCTGGACCTGTTCCACTTGAGCAAACAATCTTCAGAGGCAATCTGAAAAAAGGCCATATTTGCAGACAAAAAGCAAGGGCTGTTTCAGTCCAGGCTCTCTTGGAAAGATGTTCCAGAATCTGGGAACAGCCTTAAGGTTGATTCCCAGATGGCAGGCTAAGACCTTTTTGTTCAGGCAGGCTTTTAAAAAAGAAGGTTTTAAGATCATCAGGGGCTGTTGCAATTTATTTATTTATTTTGCATATTTGTATCCCGTCTTACCCCCGTAGAGGGAATCAAGGCGGCTTCACAACAGGCATTCATTCAATGCCAACAATAGTAATAAATGATAAAAGCAATTAAAATAATTAGTTAATGCTTTAAAATTACTAAAACATTGTTTTGTTTTTTTTTAAATGATTTTTATTAAGTATTTTATAAAACAGGACAACGAAAGAGGGGGAACAATAAAAAGAAGATAGGAAAGTAGGAGAAAGAGAAAAAAAAACCCTAACCTAAGCTATTCTAAAATGACTTCCACTCCAGCATCAGGATCTTTTCCATCAACTTCTTCTACTCTTATCTATTCTTGTCCTATAATATCTTTCTTTTTAAATTTCTTTTCATAATCATAAAAAGAAGTCCAGTCTGTTCTCTTTAGCGGTTTCCCGGTATTTCTTCTCATTAAAAATGTCAATTCGTCCATGTCTCTAATTTCTTTGACTTTCTCCAACCATTCTTCAACAGTAGGTATCTGTTCATTTTTCCAAAATTTGGCAAAAATAATTCTTGCCGCAGTAGTAAAATACGTGAATAATTTATCTTCATTTTCCTCTACTTTAAAGTCAGAGTCCGTAAATCCTAATAGATAATATTCAGGTTTCTTTCTAAACCTTCTCTTCAATATCTTTTGTATTTCTTCATGTATAGATGCCCAAAACTTGGTTGTTTCTTTGCATGTCCACCATGTGTGGAAAAAAGTGCCCGTTTGTTCTCCACATTTCCAACACTTATCTGAGACATTTGGGTACATATGGCTTAATTTATTCGGAGTCAGATACCATCTATAAAACATTTTGTACCAATTTTCCTTCAAATCCATGGCATAAGTATATTTCAACTTTTTATTCCACATTTGTTCCCATTCTCTAAATTGAATGGGCCGTCTTAGATTTTCGGCCCATTTAATCATACAATTTTTAACCTGTTCTTTTTCCGTTTGCCATTGGATCAATTTATTGTAAAGAATTGTGACTACCTTCTTCTCAGTTTTTAAAATTTTGTCCCATGTGTTTTCTTCCCAGTCAAATCCAATTTTTTGATCTTGTTTAAAATGCTCTTTAATTTGAAGATAGTGTAACCAGGTTATATTTCCAAACATATTCTTGAGTTGTTCAAACGATTTAATCTTCATTTCCCCTTTCAACAGAATATCCTTGTATCTTGGCCAAATCCTCCATCCAAGGAGTCTTCTTTGATGGGCCTCCATCGCCGAGACCCAAAGAGGTGTAACTGTATAAAAGAGGGCTTTGTATCTTAACCATGTCCTCAATAGGGAGGCTCGCACGAAATGATTTCCAATTTTTTTCCTTAGATTCTCTATTATACCACACATAAGCGTGCCAGCCTACCCTCAGGTCATGGCCCTCTAGATTTAAGCACTTTTCTTTATTCAGATTCATCCAATCTCTTATCCATGATAGAGCACAAGCCTCATGATAAGATTTCAAGTCTGGAAATCCCAGACCTCCTCTCGTTTTTCTATCAATTAAGTTTATATAATTAATCCTTGGCCTTTTCTCTTTCCAAATAAATTTGAGTAAATCTTTCTTCCATTTTTTAAACAAAGTTTGATTTCTTATTACCGGTATATTTTGGAATAGGAACATAAGTCTTGGAAGAACGTTCATCTTTATTAATGATATTCTACCCAGGAGTGATAGATTTAAGTAATTCCATTTTTGTAAATCCTTTTGAATTTTATTCCAAACTATTTCATAGTTATTCTTCAGAAGTTGGCAGTTTCTCGCGGTAATCCAGACTCCTAAGTATTTAATTTTCTTCACACTCTCTATCCCCAATTGTTGTTGAATCTTTATTTGTCTCTCCTTTTTCACATTTTTAAATAACAGTTTTGTCTTCTTCATATTCATTTTGAATCCAGCCACTTTTCCAAATTGCTCTATTTTCGTTATCCAATGTTGTAAATTTTTGTCCGGGTCTTCAATTGTTCCTAACAAATCATCTGCAAACGCCTGTATTTTACATTCGAATTTGCCGATTTTCACTCCTTTTATATTTTCATCTTCTCTAATTTTCTTCATTAGGATCTCCATAGCCATTATAAAAATCAATGGGGATAATGGGCATCCTTGTCTAGTGCCCTTCGCAATTTCTAATTCTTGTGTCAATTGTCCATTTATTTTCACTTTGGCTTTTTGATAATTATAAATAGCGTTAATTGCATTGTTAAATTTTTCTCCCATATCCAATTCTTGTATTAATATCTTGAAAAAATCCCAATTTAAATTGTCAAAAGCTTTCTCAGCGTCTATTGCTAAAATAGCGAATTCTTTTTGATGATTTATCTCATAGTATTCCAAAATATCAAGGACATTGCGAATATTTTCTTTCATATGTCTATTTGGGAGAAAACCCGTTTGCTCTTCTCCAATCCATTTATTAAGAAACACTTTTAGCCTTGTGGCCATAATATTTGCAAATATTTTATAGTCCGTGCTGGAAACCAGGCAGAGCAAACATCTGGAGAATTTCCTCCTGCTAGATATTCCACCTTTGGTCCTGGTTCTGATCTGAAAGACACAGCTAGGAAGATCACCGCAGTTCCAGGTATTGTGCACACCCTAAGTGAGACTGTTTGCAAAACCCAACAGATTTCTAATATACCTGGCAATCTGTTCAATTTACGACCAGCCTTTTCAACCCGGTGCCCTCAAGATATATATGATTCCAACTTCTCCAATCATCCCCACTAGCACGGCTATTAGTTTTCAGGCTGTGTTTGATAATATACCAAATACCGAAGTTAAAAATATCATTAAGTTAACTTTAAAATTAAAACCAGTTAAATTATAGTCACTGTTGTACACCTTCAAGTTGTTCTAAGTTTGAACCAATCACAGGGTTTTCATGGCATGATTTACTCAGGGGCAGATTTGCCTTTGCTTCCCTTTGAAGCTGATCGAATGTGACTTGCCCAGTGGAGATTCGGACCTTGGTCTCCAAAGTTGTAGCCTAGTGCTCAAACCAATGCCTCACATTGATTCAATGCCTACTAAAAAGTACAAATAAAACAGAAATAGATACTATAGCACAATTCTTCTGGACCTGTTCCACTTGAGCAAACAATCTTCAGAGGCAATCTGAAAAAAGGCCATATTTGCAGACAAAAAGCAAGGGCTGTTTCAGTCCAGGCTCTCTTGGAAAGATGTTCCAGAATCTGGGAACAGCCTTAAGGTTGATTCCCAGATGGCAGGCTAAGACCTTTTTGTTCAGGCAGGCTTTTAAAAAAGAAGGTTTTAAGATCATCAGGGGCTGTTGCAATTTATTTATTTATTTTGCATATTTGTATCCCGTCTTACCCCCGTAGAGGGAATCAAGGCGGCTTCACAACAGGCATTCATTCAATGCCAACAATAGTAATAAATGATAAAAGCAATTAAAATAATTAGTTAATGCTTTAAAATTACTAAAACATTGTTTATATCACGCAGGTTTGAAATCATAGCCTAGGTCAGTCCATTGTCATTCACACAATTTGGGTCTCATTCTAAATTGCTGCCACTACTGTTCGAATGCTTGGTCCTATAACCAGGTTTTGAGCTTTATTCTAAAGGACAAGAGGTAGGGGGCTGATCTAATGCCACAGGTGAGGGGCCACCATTGAGAAGGCCCTGTCTCTCACCTCCACCAGTTGCATTTGCGAGGATGGTGAGACCGAGAGCAGGGCCTCTCCCACCAATTGTAGACTTCGTGATGGTTCATAGCAGGAGATACGTTCAGTCAGGTAAGCTGGTCCAGAATCCTTCAGGTCTTTACAGGCACTTTACCTTTAACTTTACCTTTACCTGTTTGCAAATTATAAAATTCCTCCAGTTCACTTGGACTTTGGTCTGTGTAGAGAAGCTTCCCTACAACCTGAGTCCTCTGGCTGCTTAACACTCCTCTGACTGTGTCTTCTAACTTGTTTCAAGTACCCACCTGAAGTATTAGGAAGGCTTCTTTTAATATACAGCATAGGATATTATAGATCTCATTATTCTAATGTACAGTTTCTCTACCATGAACTGTTATTTTGTTTGATATTGTATCATGGCCAGAAGAAGTCAAATGAGTACTTCGAAAAGTTTGACCAAACTTGGTTTTGAACCACAAAGCTGATGAAAATCTGTTAGACAGTGTGAAAAGGTGACTGAACTGTGTGACTCCTATGTGGTTGGATCTACCATTAGGCAAAATGAAATATGGAACAGATACTGAAAGGCAGAGACAAGATGTTAAAAAAAGGGGTCTGTGTGCCAAAGACTTCCCATTGCCCACCAAGTTAGCCTTTGCCTTCAGATACAGTAGAAAATACTGTCCCATGGTAGTAAAGGTAAAAGTTTTTCCCTGACATGAAGTCCAGTCGTATCCAACTCTAGGGATTGGTGCTCATCTCCATTTCTAAGCTGAAGAACCAGCGTTCTCCGTAGACACCTCCAAGGTCATGTGGCCAGCATGATTTCATGGAGCGCTGTTACCGTCCTGCCAGAGCAGTACCTATTTATCTACTCACATTTGCATGTTTTCAAACTGGTAGGTTGGCAGAAGCTGGGGCTAACAGCGGGAGCTCACGCTGCTTCCCGGATTCGAACGTGCAACCTTTTGGTCAGCATGGTATGTCATGAAAAAAGATTAATCTAAAGTCACCTTCTGTATTTGGAAAGAGTGAGAGAAATTACTTTGGTTTTTCCTGGGAGAGAGCATGATATCCGCAAGCAAAACATGCAGAAGTTCTGTCTTGTTGGCCATGAGCTTATAAAGGATGCACCGTTTGGTGGTCACTAAATATGTCAGTCTTGGTTGGCTGTTTGTTTTATTTGATTTATTTGTTTGTTGTATGGATTTTCCCAGGAAAGAGCCACCATGGTTGGAAAAACAGTTTGTTTTCAGTATATAGGAAAATTAACCATGTGATATACAGTTATTGGTTATACATATAGCCATTTCTTTCAGCATTCTCTCTCTTTCAGAGCATTTTAAGACACTTCCTGAAGCCACAGCCAATGAACCCAAAGCATTTATCAATGCCATTAGTTTGTCAGAAAAAAGTAAATCAAACAAACAGGTATGTGGCAATGTACCTGATAGTTTTTATCCTTTTCTTAATAATTTTTTGCAGATGGATTCTCAATCTAATTGAATTAAAAGTCTGTAAAATGTCTTTCGGTTGTTGCTCCTGGGAGTAAGCAGTAGAAATATGCCTTCTAAACCAAAAGTACATACTACGATTCAGGTTGAGTACCCTGTATTCAAAAGGCTCAGGACTAGAAGTGATTTTGACATTTGGATTTTTTTTTTTGGATTTTGAAATACCAAAATTTACATATACATGCACAATAAGATATCTTGAATAATGGACTGAAGTCTAAACTCTAAATTTATGTATATTTTACATTCACCTTATACTCATGGCCTGAAGATAATTTCATACAATATTTCTAACCACTTTGCGCATGAGACAAAATTTGTGTACATTGAACCACCAGAAAGCAAAAGTGTCACTATCTTAGGGCCCATCCAGACAGTCCCAAAATGCAGGACGTGTCTTGGTTTTTACCGAAGATTTCCAAATCATGCCTCTGGTAAAAATGAATTAATTTGGAATAAACCATCTGGGCATTCTTGAAAGGTCCAAGTCTAAGGAGGTATTGGGCCTGTGGAGACTGATTCCCAGGGTTTACATTCCACGACATCAGGGGACAGACTCCATAGCCATCCTGCATCTTTTGGGCTCCTGTTCACTGCTCCCCCAGCCCCCATATACTCCTAAAACTTACTTTAAAAGGTCCCTGGTTTCCATCAATCCTCTCCTCACGTACTCCTGGCATGAGAAAATGATGTGCAATGAGTCCGTGGGGATGAGGAGGAAGAGGAGGGATTTTCACCTCTCCCATCTCCTCTGGCATCATTTTCTTGTGCCAGGAGGATGCAAGGAGAAGATTTATGGTGGCCAGGGACCTTTTAAAGTAAGTTTTGGGGGGTAAATGGGGGGAGGGCTTCGGGGTGGCTTCATGCCATCCTGATTTGTCACCTCCATCCCCGGGAAAAGGCTGGGTTTGGGTTGGGAGGTAGAGACTGGATCCCACGCCAACGCGGGTTATTTTAACCCATTTTGGCATGGGTTTGGGGTCTGTGTAGAAGCGCCCTCAGTGGACAATTTGTATTTTACAGTGTTTCAGATTTTGGAATTTTAGATAAGGAATGCTCAACTTGTATATTAAGTGCAACATTTGCATGTTTCTCTGAGTCAACATTGCTCATTCATATGGTGAGTTGCAATTTGAACAGAGAGTTTATTTCTCCCTTTACTCCGTTCTAATATGTACCTTCTGGCCGATCATCAATGAACCAGCAGATGAATAGTACAGGTTGTAGGACTGTAAATCTCATGATTTCTCAATATTGGCTATACTGACTAGTGCTGATCAAATTGTAGTTCAACATTATCAGAGGAAATATGAATTGCCAGCTTATGGAAATGTAGATTTTATTTGGATTGTGTTTCCCATATTCCCAGCCATCATGACTGCCTCACATGCTGACTGAGTGATTTTGGAAGATGTTGTCTATAGCATGCAAATAGTAAAAAGCCTTGTGTTTACAACTGGTACCTACTTGGAATCGTTATTCTTAACATTACATAATAGGTTCCATCCATTCCTAATGTTATGGCTTCCAAATGTGTTGCACTGTGGATATTGAGAATCGGAATCCAAATCATCTGGAAGTCATCCAATTGGAAAAGGGTAACTGGATTTCAGATAGGACAACTGCTACCTGATTGCTTTACTGAGGAATGCTGGGAACTGGTTGAATCGAGTATTTTCTGCATCCAAACTATATGTTCAGTCAGCAGACCTATGATCTCTCCATTCAATATATAGAAGATACAGCTTTAGACTTCTGTTATATCTTATTTAAAACTTTCATTTCATGTCCACTTTCCTGCAGAAGCACCTTCACCAGACATTAACAAGAAAAGTCAATTCAGAAAAAGGAAGCATTAAAATCTGTGAAAAACTTGATTGCCCCTGGAAAGGTATAGCAAAAGTCAGTGTTACTGAGTTTTGAAAAGTTTTATTTTTTAGTCTACAGCTGCCAAACCTCCAGCTAGTGTGGCCAATGGCCTTGCTGATTAGAAAACCTTGTAGTCCAAAAGTGACTTTTTTCAAGCTCTGGTTACTGATATAGCTATACATGTATTTGTTTCATGGCAAGAGCAGCTCCATGGTATTAATGTTTAGACCAATCTTGGATTCCCAAATGTTGCTGGACTACAATTATCATATTTCCCAGAGAGCCGAGGTGATTGCCATGATGGAGTCCCAAAATTAGGAAAAAAGTGTTGTTCACTATGAATAAAATACAACAATATAATTGGCCATGCGGTGTGGTGGCAGTGGTGATGATGCCAAGACATCTGAAAAGTACTACATTGGAGAGGGCCAATTTGTACAATCATGTTCCCAAACTTATCAGAGTTGTACCATGTGTAAACAGGTCTCTAGAAATGTCAGAGTCTTATAACCGTCCAATACTGCACAGTAATACTGCTAAAATTCCACTTTAACTTTAATGGCAACATCCTATGGAATTGTGGGATTTGCAGTTTAGGGGGTAGTCAGAGTTCTCTGCCAGAGAGTTCTAGTGCCTCATCAAACCTCAAACCCTAGGATAGCGTTTCTCAATCTGGGGGTCGAGGCCCCTAGGGATCATTAGGGGGTTTCAGAAGGGTTGCCAGACCATAAGAAAACAGATATTTCCGATGGTCTTAGGAGCCTCTTTGGCAGAGAAGGCTGATGATCTCTCCGCCTGTCCTTCTCTTCCTTTTTGGAAACAGACGCTGAATCCTCCCACTAAAAGCTCTCCTCTGCTGTGATTGGCTGGCCTCTCAGCCAAGGGGAGGGCTGTTTCTGAGACTCCAAGCAGGAAGGGGAGAGCAGGCATGCTTGGTGCATGGCAGCATGGTGCACATGTGTGGGTGAGGGGGAGCGTGCGAGATGGGAGGGAGGCCCGTGCCAGCGAGTCCTTTCAGGGCATGGGGGTTCTGGGAAATTTGGCCCAATTCTATTGTTGGTGAGGTTCAGAATTCTCTTTGACTGTAGGTAACTATAAATCCCAGTAACTATCACTCCCAAATGTCAAGGTCTGTTTCCCCAAACTTCAGTGTTCACATTTGGGCATATTGAGTATTGGTGCCAAGTTTAGTCGAGATCCATCATTGTTTAAGTTCACTGCACTCTGGATGTAGGTGGACTACTACTCCAGAATTCAAGGTCAAAGCCCACCAAACCCCTCCAGTATTTTTCTGTTGGTCATGGGAGTTGTGTGTGCCAAGTTTGGTTCAATTCCATTGCTGGTGGAGTTCAGAATGTTCTTTGATTGTAGGTGAACTATAAATCCCAGCAACTACAACTCCCAAATGGCAAAATCAATTCTACTCAACCCCACCAGTATTCAAATTTGGGCATTTTGGGTATTTGTGCTAAATTTGGTCCAGTGAATGACAACATATCCTGCATATACAGTGTTCCCTCGCTACTTCGAGGTTTACTTACCACGGACCCGCTGTTTTGCGGTTTTAATATATATATATAAACTTATAATACATATAAACTTAAGTAACGAGGGAACACTGTAGTGAGGAGGGAAGAAGAGTCGCCCCCTCTCCCTCTTTACCTTCCTCTTCCTCGTCGTCGCCGGGACCTCTTGCTGCCGGATTGAGGAGGCGGCACGGGCCCATAACAGCAGCAAAAGACCCAGGTGGCAGCGAGGAGGAGGAAGAGGAAGGTAAAGAGAGCACCCTCCTCGCCCTCTTTACCTTCCTCTTCCTCCTCCTTGTCGCCTCCTGGTGCTCTTGCCACTGCTTGGGCCCTGCGACACCTCCGCTGCCTCCTCAATCACAGGGCCCAAGGGGCGGCAAGAGGCCCAGATGGCAACGAGGAGGAGGAAGAGGAAGGTAAAGAGGGTGAGAGGGGAAGGGGGCATCCCTACTGTGCAGTTTTTCACTTATCGCGCGTGGTCCTGGAATGTAACCCCCCGCAATAAGTGAGGGAACAGTGAAGATATTTACATTATGATTCATAACAGTAGCAAAACTGCAGTTATAAAGTAGCAACAAAAATAATGTTATGGTTGGGGCTGCAGCATTAGGAAGGTTGAGAATCACTGCCATAGGATTAAGCAGAATCATAACATTATAAATGTGCAAGACTATTTTATTGGCAAAGTTTGCATCAAAGGTTGCTGCAATCCCCTGGCTGTGATGTTTCCTTTTATGTGGTTTTAGCCCTCAGCCTTTTCAGATAGTAATGGTCACTTTCATGAGATATTTTAGATTGTGTGTAGATCAGAGATGAGAAAAGTCATATCATGTGGGAAGTCATTTCCCGAAGGCTTGCATTTTGGGGGGTCTCTTTAATGAGAACTAAAACCAATAGCGGTATCAGTTTAGCGACGGAGTGTATGTCATCACTTGGGGTTTGTGGTTATGCAGCATCTTAGGAAAGAAACCTGTCATGAAGATGAGATAGATATGCAGATATGATTGGTGTTTGCTGTGGGAAGAAAACGTTTGAACTTTTTACACCAAATAACACCCAACAAATAGAAGTATACATTTTCTTTCTAGTCTACCAGGATGAAATTGGAGAATGAAAAAAAATGCCATAATTCAATAATATTTCAAAATGAGAGCCTTAATTTTTTTTAAATTATGCTTTGGTGTAAATTATAAATAATAATTTTCTCCTAGTCTTGGATCCAGCAGACATTGTGTTTTCAACAAATACATACAGTTGGACCTCCACCACAATTTAAGAGGCCATGCCGCTGAATTTCAAGCACACATGTAGTGTTGATGGCTGCTGCAGCATTGACAGCCATGGCCAGGCCTGTAGCCCGGGGGGGGGGGGGGGGGGGGGGGGGGGGGGTAGGGGTTCAACCCCCTCCCCCAAAAATTTTCAGGTAAAAAAAAAACTGGTTTACTCATGAATTTTAACTAGTTAACCAAATCCCCATGCTAAGTCTATGAGACGCAAAAAATTAAGAGTCCCTCCAGAACTGCAAGCACTATCTCAAGCAAACATTGACAATTTATTCACACTGTCATTACTTGCAGCAATAGTCGATGTAGTGAAGCAACCAAGATGGTGGGAGGTGTTGAATGCTCTCATTAAGGAGGCCAGACTTGGTGGAGGTGGTTGAGAGGGGCGGAGCTGCAGGCTATTGAAGGCTGCTCTGCCCCCTGCTGTGCTCTGATTCACTGTGAGCTAGAAGGCAGGTTTCAACCCCCTCCCCCAAATTTTCAAACCCCCCCCCCCAAAATTTTCAACCCTCCTCGAAAAATTTTTCTGGTTACGGCCCTGGCCATGGCATATGACTCTTGGATGAGTGGGTGGCCAATGGTTTTCAGCCCTGTGTGGCCCATCGCTAAATTAAAGTATGGCATCTTTTTATGTCTCATGTGAGGTTTATTGAGATTGTCTTTTATGTAAACTTTTCCTTCACACAGTGCATGATTAATACACAAATCCCTCCACCATAAGATGTGGTAATGGCTAATAGCTTGGATAGGTCACCTTCACTGAAAATATTTTGTATAAAGCCACCCAATCCCTAAACACTGATAGCTTTATAATCCACTCACATGCACCCCTACTCACAGCACATTTGGAGAAGAGCAAACCACAGATCACCTATTACAATGCACATGCACAATGGAGAACCTTCTTATAGCAACACCAGAGGTACTCCAAGTGGCCAGCTATTGATCAAAGGACATTTAGAATAATGCCAAGTTTTAAAACTTTGTTTGTGCTTTTAAATGCATTACAACTATACCCTTGGTTTGCTTCTGATACGATAAATAAAGCACATTTTGAGGAGCATGAACATTTTTTTTATATTCCACTTGCACATACATAGAAGTGTATCAGCTTTCCTTTCTAGTGGCAGCTCCTGACATGTCATAGGGTGCTGTACCAGAATTTCCTTTTTTACCTCCCTTCTCACTTCAGCAATTGGGGCAGGAGTTTAGGATGCTTACTAGAAAGTAGACAGATTGGTGTGTGGGTCTGCTCCCATTGTACATATTAATACGAACTGGCTGACTTTCCATTGTGCACGGGCTCTCCTTGGATCTTGCTGTTGCTCATAGATACCTTAAGAGAAGATGACGTTATTATGCAACTTTTAGTAATGAACACTCACTGATTCCCACAGGTTGCAGGGCTGGGAGTAAGGACATATGTGAAGCTCAAGGCATACCAACTCACACTGAGTCCTGTCCGTTGCAGCCAGCAATTAGGTTTCATGTCACAGGCTTGCGCAATGACTATTGTAAGTTGCATGTCTATTTCATAGAATATTGTTTTTGGTGTGTAGAAGCATAAAATGTATAGCATTAGAAGAGACCACAGCAGTCATCCAGCTCTGCCTCTTACCATGCAGGAATACACAATCAAAGCACTCCTGACAGTGCTATCTAACCCTCTGTTTAAAAATCTCAAGATAAGAAGACTCCCTTACACTCTGAGGCCATATATTCCTCTGTTGAATATCTCTTGTAACCAGAAAGTTCTTCCTAATGTTTGTGTGGAATCCTTTTACTCCATGTCCTAGTCCAGGAGTCCCCAAACTAAGGCCTATGGGCTGGATGTGGCTCTCCAAGGTCATTTACCAAGTCCCTGCCCTAAACTTTAGACATCGGATCTCCCTAAATCTGAAATGACTTTAAGGGCCACAACAACAACAACAACAACTATAATTACATGACTATCTTATCAGCCAAAAGCAGGGCCACACTTCCCACTGATATATGTTGGTTAAAATTGTTCTTCATTTTAAATATTGCATTGTTTGTTCATGTTTTCTTGCACTACAAATAAGATCTGTGCAGTGTGCATAAGAATTTGTTAATGTTTTTCTCATAGTCTGCTCCCCCCAACAGTCTGAATTGGCCCTTGGCATGAAAAGAGGACCCATCCTGGTCTCTCGAGCAACAGAAAACAAAAGTAGATATTAAAAGTAGAGCCCTGTACATTCAGAAACAGACTGATTCTTTTGACTTGTCTTGATAAAGCTTGGAGAATGATCTCATTAGGCAGCCCTGCAGTTCCAAGCTAACAAGTTGCCTGGAGGTAGTCATATCCAGCATTGCCTGGTTTAGATCCTGAGTCATCCATGAAGTTTCTTGGGGGACCTTGATCTGAACACACACCATTTAGCTTAATCTCCCTCACTGTTCATTAAAACATAGAATTGGAAGAGACCAAAAGGGCAATCCAGTCCAACCCCCTGCCATGCAGGAACACACAATCAAATCATTCTCGACAGATGGCCATCCAGCCTCTTCTTAGAAACCTCCAGAGAAGGAGACTCTACCATGCTGAACAGCTCTTACTGTCAGGAAGTTCTTCCTAATGTTTACGTGGAATCTCTTTTCCTGTAACTTGAATCCATTGCTCCCTGTCATAGATTCCAGAGCAGCAGAATATAAGTTTAGCCCTTTCTCAATGTGTGATCCTTTCAAATATTTAAGCCTGTCTATCATGTCCCCCCTAAGTTTTCTCTTCTCCATGCTAAACATACCCAGCTCCCTAAGCCGTTCCTCATGGAAAAGGTGTTGGGAAAAGAACAAAACTATATATGCTACCTTGACATCCTTTGGAGTTGAAAGATGGGACATAAATGTAATAAACAAATAAACAATGTTTATCGTTGTGTGAAGTACGCACATCCTTTCTTGAGCTTTATTTCCTGCCTTCAAAATAACCTGAGTTGTCACAATGTGAGACTTTTTTTCATTTTTACTTAATTATGTTTAACCTTATTTTTAAAATAATTTTTGTCTTTGGGTTTCATTATGTTAAAAACAATATAAAGAAACAACTTATTTTTTTTTAAAAAAAACTCTTTCTTGCAAGGGTAGATCAAGCTTTCATTTTAAATAGATTTGTTTTTCCTTTTCCAGATCTAAACATCTTGGACTGGAGTCAACAGAACTTTCTTGCTCTTGCTCTGGAGTCTGTTGTACACATTTGGAAAGGAGAAAGAAGGGAAAAGCTTAAATGCATACATATATATTCTGGTTCTGAATACATTGCTTCTCTGGCATGGATGAGAGAAAATTCATATCTTGCACTTGGCACTAGTGATGGAGAAGTGCAGGTAGACAGTTCTTACTTTCACAGTTTCATTTTAAGACAAAGTGAATATGGTGCCACTGAGCTTTCCATACATGAGTTACTAAATGGCATGAATCATATGCAGTACTATTCCTGTAGCAATGGGATCCGTTCCTGCAGTTTCACCTATCTCCGTCTGACAAAATGTGCAGCCTCTAGGAATTTTCTAGGCCTTCCAAGTGCTAGAAGTTACCCTAGAGTCATCCTGGAAGACCTAGCAAATGTCTAGAAAGGTATTTATTTTCGTATTTTATTTTCCAATCCCTGGGGCCCTGCTTTCGGTCCCGCCACTTTCGCAATCGCGTCTGGTGGGGACGAGCAACAGGGCCTTTTCTATGGTGGCCCCTCGGCTATGGAACTCTCTCCCAATTGAGATCAGATCTGCCCCCTCCCTCCTGTCCTTCAGGAGGCTGGTGAAATCCTGGCTATGGAAGGACGCATTCCCAGAGTAATGGTTGAGACCGGCTACAGAACAAAGTTATCGATCACACACATGGACTGAGTTGGACATGATTTTATCTTGGTGATTTGACTTATTTGTAAATTTAATCCATATGTATTTTAATTTGTTGTTATTGTATGATGTTTTTATATTGTATTGTTTTTATTGAATCCTGTTGTGAGCCGGTCTGAGTCCCTCTACAGAGGTTAGAGAAGATCGGCATATAAAAGTTTTAAATAAATAAATAAATAATCAGGAATTAAAAGGATACATATATTGATTTCCCTCCTCTGTTCAAGTAGAATAAACACTTAAGCTAATGCTTTAACCTCATCTCCACCGAAACCTTATTTTACGAAGTAAAAATACTTCGTATTTTACGAAGTAAGAAATTAGTGTGCAAAAATAAGCAACTTATTTATTTATTTATTTTACGATATTTATATGCCGCCCTTCTCACTCCAAAGGGGACACAGAGTGGCTTACAAATTATTTGTACAAGTTATTAGATTGGCGTACAAGTTATTAGATGGGTAGTATATAAAAAGAAGTGCAAGATGAAGGCACCCTCCCATTCCCAAAGTAGTCCAGGCCCATAGACCAGTTGTCATCAAAGATGGTGGGTGTTTAGGGAGCTGCAATGGAGGACAGTTCCGAATGCAGTCGCTGATGATGGTACGGACAAGAGGTAGGTGTAAAGTAGCTATAGGGAACCCTGCAGCAATGGTAGGTGTCGATAAGCCTCCGAAGGAATCAGCCTCTGCACACCACGATGGAGATTCACAAGAGTGGCAAAAGGGCATCTGAGCATTAAATTAAAGTTAACATTAAATGCAAAGTAACTGTGCTAATTGAAATATAAATATGTGATTATTGAATTTTTTTTGCTGCTAGTTGTGGGATGTTGAAACTCAAAAGAAACTGAGAACTATGTCTGGCCATAAATCTGTCATCGGAGCCATGAGTTGGAATGGATACGTACTTAGCAGGTGAGCAGTGAAGTATATCTGTGCCCTTCAGTTCTGTTGCTGGTCTTCCCCCCAGATTTGGCTCCATGGAAATAGTCCTGATAGGTTTTACATTAGCTTACTTGGAGAAACATAGTGCATGAAATAAGAGAGTTTCAGGACAGTGACCGTTTCTATTACCAAAACATGCTGCCTTGACCACAGCAGTTATGATCAAGAATGTTCAGTTTGGGTTTAATGTTTCCACATATCGTTATATGATTCCATCTACGAATAACAGATACGGTGACTCAACACTGTGGTTCATTTTCCAGTTCAACCTTTGGTGGGTAGATTAAGATTATACTGAAACTTATCAGATACATATCTGTGTTAACCAAAATTGTGTGTTGGTTGAGGTGAAAACTGGAACTTTTTCACAAGCCATCTTTCTTTTTTGTATTGTCAAAGGCTTTCATGGCCAGACTCACTGGGTTGTGGTGAGTTTTCTGGGCTGTATGTCCATGTTCCAGAAGCATTTTCCCCTGATGTTTCGCCTGCATCTATGGCAGACATCCTCGGAAGTTGTGACCTCACAACCCCTGAGGATGCCTACCATAGATGCAGGTGAAATGTCAGGAGAGAATGCTTCTGGTACATGGCCATACAGCCAGGAAAACTCACAACGACCCAACTTTTTTTGGTTGCTACTTGAACTACCAAATTCATTCATGTTAAATAGTGTTCTTTGCTATTGTCCACAGTGGCTCAAGGCTGGGATATATTCTTCATCATGACATTCGAGCCCAGGATTACATTGGGATAGTACGGCAAAGTAAACAGACTATTAGCAGCCTGCAATGGTCACCAGACACTAAACTGTTAGCATGTGGTTCTAGCGATGGCTTACTGAATATTTGGTCCCGTGATCTAGGTGTGACTATGCAGTGTACACCACTGACCACCATACACCATTCCTCCGCAGTCAAGGTAGGAGAAAATAATTTACAAATATGTAATTAAAGTAGATGTTTTACCACTGTTGTTTTGCAGTGGCCAACTTGAAAATGCCTGTTGTGCAACATAGCACATACAAAGATCTTGTTGGATCTTAGAAGCTGTGGTTACTACTTGGATAAAGGATCCTCAGTGAATTCCGGGTGTTTCCTTCAGAGGTATTCCTTGCCAAAGAAAACCTATGATGTTCATGAATCAACTGGTGACTTGAAGGCACATACATATGCATATATCTGTATCTATATATATAAAAATGCTCTGTGCATAATGAGTACCTTAAAAACAAAAGAACCAATGAACGAAATCACACCAAATTTGGCAACAAAATATCTCACAACACAAGGAGTGACCATCACTCAAAAAATTATGATTTTTGTCATTTGGGAGTTGTAGTTGCTGGGATTTATAGTTCACCTACAATCAAATAGCATTCTGAACTCCACCAATGATGGAATTGAACCAAACTTGGCACACAGAACTCCCATGACCAAGAGAAAATACTGGAAAGGTTTGGTGGGCATTGACTTTGAGTGTGGGACTTGTAGTTCACCTATATCCAGAGAGCACTGTGGACTCAAACAGTGATGGATCAGGACTAAACTTGGCACAAATACTCAATATGCCCAAATGTGAACACTGGTGGATTTTGGGGAAAATAGTCCTTGACATTTGGAAGTTTTAGTTACTGGGATTTATAGTTCACCTACAATCAAAGAGCATTCTGAACCCCACCAATGATAGAATTTGGCCAAACCTCCCACACAGAACCCCCATGTGGGCCACAGCAACGCATGGCAGGGGACGGCTAATTTATTTTTAAAAATGAAACGTGCTTTTCCACTAAACACAGATTATCTAAGTGAAAACAAAGGAATAATAAAAAAGATTGGAGACATACTTGATTCTTCTTTGGAAGAAATAAAGCAAGGTATAAATCAATATAGTAATAATAAAAATAATTTTTAAAAATTAAAAATTAAGAACTATTAAAACCAATAATAAATAAATAACATACATTGACAATTTACTTATTTAGCCTGGAAGTGTTTTTATAGAATTTCTTTTTGTAATAACCAATCTGTTGCCTGATATACCTGTCCAGGACTAGAGAACCATCATTTTGTGCTTGTGCTCCTCTTTTTCTCATTAGGCAATGAAGTGGTGTCCATGGCAATCTGGCATAATTGCCACGGGAGGAGGACTGCAAGACGGATGTTTACGCATCTGGAACATAAGCAGCATGAAAACCCTTGGGACTGTAAATTCAAAATCTCAGGTAAAACCATAATGTGAAAACTTCCTGCTTTAGCCTTTCAATTCCCATAGTACTTCAGTATACCAAAAGAGCAGTATACTTAACTCAAAGAAATGAGTGATTATCCGGGTTGGTGTACAAGTAGCAAGAGAAAACTGTTAATGTGACAACATCATGCCTAACAGTTTTTTAAAATCACAACATACCTGGTAAGTTCCGGTTTTTTAAATATAATCTTTATTGAAAATTTTCCATAAAAACAATTAAGAACAATTGAAAGAAAAAGAAAAGAAAAAACGTTTGAGAACTGGAACAGGTTGAATTGTTTATTTGACTAAGAACCACTTGACCAGGGACCATTTGACCAGGGACCACTTTGAACAGGGACCACTTGAACAGGGACCACTTTGACTAGGGACCACTCTCCAACATTARTACCAAAAGGGTTACGACTCAATTTTTGGTCAACTTTAGATTTGATTTGGTTATTTGGAGTGCTGATTCAGAAAACTGCACTGGATAGACCACATCAAGTCTAGYTTCTGATACAGAACATATTCCATCCAGTAGTTGCCATCTGCTCACCCACAGAAAACCATATTTAATAATCTAGAGCTGATGTAATAGTARTAATCTTTTAAGGGCAGTCAGGCTCTCYCCTTCTGACATCCTCAGCACTATAAGAGGGCTTTGTGAGACCAGTCGCCCTCRTTGCAGCGTGGTTTCGAGGCAATGGTGTAATGGTGAGACCATAGACTATATTTTTGTTCTTTTGGACCATTGGTGATCCATGGACCACAGGTTGGTAACCATTGGTATACACAAATAAATATAGTGAAGCTTTAAAAGAAGAAGGAAACCAAGAAAGAAAAAAACTTCAGGATGAACATGGTTGAGGACAAAAGCTTTGAGGCACTTAACCCTTTCCCAATCCTTTTTCCCTATGCTCCAGCTTACACTGCCATTGAGTCCTCCCCATCTCAAAACACCCACAAACTGAATTTCAGACTCAGTTTGATGAGGAGAGGATACTGGGAAGCAACTGAAAGGGAGAACACAAGGTGGGAAAGAGTTAAGCACACAGCCATTGTTGTTATTACTCCCTCCAAATCGCCACCTGCCCAAATGGCTTTTCTTCTTTGAAAGCAGAAATTGGGTCTGGGTTATGTGTATGTATCCACTCTGGCATTATTGGTCTATTCTGTAGTTTGTAGGATAAAAACAATTGTAGCCAAAACTGTGCTAAACATTTTAATGAAGATTTTTAAGTTCAAATAATAAAAAAAATCTAAACTATTTTCTACAAAAATAAAATGGGCTTTTCAAATTAAAAACATACTCCAGATATGTTCCCTGCTGTGGTTACCAAATACCAAAGAAATAGTGACCGGGCAAGGCCATCCTCAAAATAAGGTGAACATCTGGAGATATCCTGTACTTTCAAATTCAGCAGAACTTTATGGTAAGTACGTTGATAAGTGAAAACCACAGACGTTGTGCCTGTTTTCACATTTGCTCAGCAACATCTCATMTGAATCTTTTGCTCCATTCTTGCACAAGCTAGTTCTGCATGTGAGATAACTACAATGTRTTGGAACTTGGGGAATTTTTTTCAACCGGCTTTTAAATGGGTATTTTTGATTCTTAGAAATCATAGTTTTTATTTATTTGTGCATTATATTTGTTTCTAGCATTTCTATACTACTTTTCTTAAAACCACCAAGACACTGTGAAAAATAAAAAACCATTTTACAGTAAGCACACTGATAACCACAGCTAGCATGTCTGGTCACACATTTGCTCAACATCATTTCCTATGAGCAGTGAGCATATTTTCACACACTATATTCCCAGGGAGTCTTCTTGCAAAGTTATCCCTAGTTTGATTTCCGTGTGGATGATCTCATACATGTTAATGTAAAAATATTGTTGGATCATACYCTCCAACATTCCACAGATGGAAACTGGGACACATGTGTCCAAGCAACATTAAAGTTGTGATCAAGATGGCAAAAGTTATTAATGAGGATGAACACATAATCTAAAAGAGGCTGCAGCAGTTTGATTTGACCTGAGCCCACAGGGAAGGACAAGACTCCTTCCCTCCTTTCCCTCAGGCTGAGTTAAATTAGTGCAAACCACTTTTGTCTCAATTGGCAGTAACTGAAGTAAGCTGTGGAGAAAGAGGGAAAGTTGGGAGGAGAAAAGAAGAACTGGTACATTTTTAAAGCATCTGAAAAGTGTTTGTGAGTCTCTCTAGGTCCTCCAGTGTAATTCTATGGTATACTTCCAGCTCAAGTATTGTCAAAATATAGGGTTCACTTTTATTCACAGTTTCAGGTATCCATAGAATGTGTGCGTGTGTCTTGGAATGTATCTCTGCAAAAATGGGTGTGTATGCGTTGTACTTAATGGTAAACTAGACCTTAAGATGGATAGTGCCTTTAAAAATTGTTGTATTCTTTCACCTGAGCACGAGATCTAGTTGCTATTTCATATATTGTTTTTCTCTCTTCATCTTCTACCTCCAAATGTTAGACCACAAAGGAAGAGTTCTGCATATGGCTCTGAGCCCAGAAGGAAACAGGATCTTTACAGCTGCAGCTGATGATACAGCTTATGTATGGAAGTATCAGATGGAAGCAAGGATGGTGGACCTTCAGCAGGAAAACCGTTCAAGTTAACAATGATATATTCCCACTGCTGGCTGTTCAATCTTTATCTAATCCAGCACAGTGCAGAAAATTACGAGGGTTGAATGAAAAGTAATGCCTCCACCTTCGTAACTCCTCAGCAGATGGCAGTACTGGTATGCGGCATGTACTGGCTTGTTCAGTAGACTCTCCTCTACAGTTCCATTTTGGCAGGAAGCCTTAGCATTGAACAGTTGTTAAAGTGCAAAGTATGGAAAATGAGATATAAGATTTGAATGAAAACTAATGCCTCCATCTTCGTAACTCCTCAACAGATGGCAGTACTGGTATGCGGCATGTACTGGCTTGTTCAGTAGACTCTCCTCTACAGTTCCATTTTGGCAGGAAGCCTTAGCATTGAACAGTTATGTTATTAAAGTGCGAAGTATGGAACCCTGCGCAGACGGTTGGTCAATGTGACTTAAGCGACGTGCAGTCATTGAATTCCTGACAGCAGAAGGTGTCACCCCAAAGGAGATTCATCAGAGAATGCAAGTTGTTTATGGTGATTGTGTTGATGTGAGTACTGTGCATCATTGGGTGAGTAAGTTTAAAGATGTTGAGGTGGGAACATCTGACTTGCGTGACTAACAAAGAGTTGGACGTGATCTGACAGCAACCACYAAGTTTCACAAGCAAAAGATTGACAGATTGATTCAGGACAATCGTTGTATCACTCAGAGAGAAATTTCAAGCACAATCAGCATTTCATAAGAATGTGTGGATCACATTATTGCTTTGCTTGGCTATCAGAAGATCTGTGCACAATGGGTGCCCAGGATGCTGACGCCTGAAATGAAAGCRCACAGACTTGAAACTTCACCGTATGACATCCTCCATACAGTCCAGATTTAGCACCGTCTGACTTCTGCTMTGGCAACAGTCATCCATGCCATGGTCACATCCAGGCTGGACTACTGTAACGTCTTGTATGTTGGCCTTCCGATGTCTATGACCTGAAAGCTCCGTATTGTTCAAAATGCAGCAGCCAGGTTACTCACAAAATCGCCTATGAAATGCCATATAACACCAGTGCTGTAACATCTACATTGGCTTCCAATTGATTATCGTGGTCTGTATAAGATGCTAGTCCTGACCTTTAAAACTTTATACGGCCAGGGTCCATCCTATCTTAGAGACYGTCTCTCCTTCTTCCATCATCGGAGGATGCCACGTCCTTCCCAGCGCGACTTACTCTATATACCAGGTCCTAGAGAAGTGCATTTGGAAAGTACCAGGCGCAGGGCTTTCTCTATTTCTGCCCCTACCTTATAGAATTCCTTGCCACTCTATATGAGAGCCATGCGCGACTTAGGGCCTTTTACTCTAGCACTTAAGACCTGGCTTTTTACTGAAACATTTGATCTATGTTAATTTATTAATATCTGTTTGTATGTATTTTATTCTGTACAATTTCGCTATGTAAATCGCCTAGAGTATCTCGGATGGAAGGCAATTAATAGGTAATTAAAGATGATTGTCTGGTGATTATGTGGAAAAGTGAATAGTGATAGTTAAAGAGCACATTCTAGAGTGTGCTCTTGTTTCATGAGCTACTGGAGGAAGATTTTCCACAAGGACAAAGAAAGACAATTTTAAATCTCTCTAAAAGGACATTATGTGAGTTAATGCAACTGTTCACATGATTGTACATATGTTATTCTGCATTACGAAGAGTAAACTACTTGTTCTTTATTGATCATCTGTGTATTTTCTTTCTCTGGCAAGACTGTGTGGATTGATTAAACAGGAAGTACATGTGATTTTACATTGTGGGCCCAAACCAGAGAACATGGATGCACCCCTGAAATGGAAATTCATTAACCAAGTTAACCACTGATGTTTTAATTATAAAGAATTTTAGCATACTAACTTGATTTCGATTTGCATTCTATGGATCTCATAATGGATTTGCATTCTATGGATCTCCAAATTAGGATTGCAGTAGTTTGAAGGAACAATTCTAGGACTAGGGCTGGATCATAGTTGAAGGTCAAGCAATTTTCTGGACTTGAATTTCAGTTCTATATTTGACTCATATACTTTTTTGTTCATGATAACATCTTTTGGTTGTATTGCTAGTGCATTGGAAATAGATGAGAGAATCAGGTCCGAGCAGTATAGTCTTATCCTATACTACCTTTGGTTAGGGAAGAATATTTCTTTTCCTCATTTGTGAAAATGGAAGTTGTCATTCAGCTGCATACTAGATGAATGAAATGAACTAAATCACAAGCTTAAAAAGGAGAAAAATTTCATCAAGCAATATAGGAATGAGTACCATAAAATCAATTTTGATGAGTCTCTATTACTGTCTGAATCCAGAAGAGATGGTCCTTTGTGAGCCGAGTGTAGATGCCAGGGTACCTGCGATCATTGCATTTTTTAACAAAGGAGAGGATGCCTCTTTGTCTTCCATTGCATATCAAAGGACTGCCGGAATCACCCTGGGAAAGCAAGGAAGCAGGAGACTATGGCATTACCAATAGAAGCTGATATAGACACAGCAGCTAGGAGAGCATCTGCACTGCAGAATTCATGCAGTTCAACATTGCTTCAACTGCTATGGTTTGATGCTATAGAATCAAGGCACCAGCACTTTTTGGCAAGAGACTGAAGACCTTTAAATACTACAGCTTCTATTCCATAGTAGGGAGCCATGTCAGTTATAGTAGTGTCAAACTGCATTAGGTCTTCAGACATATTTTGAGAAGAATGTGAAAAATCCAGCTCTTCCTATTACTGAGTTTATCAGACTTTTAATTGAAAAGCACATGCCACATGAGATGGCACAATATTATGAACAGTGATGCATTCAGTATTCACCTTGTCTTAACCAAATGAAAAAAAAAACTTCTATAATGCTATCAGAAAACTTTCAGAAAATATAAAGAACAAATACCAAGTTTTAGAGCAGTGTTTCTAAACATTCCTAATGCTGTGACCCCTTAATACAGTTCCTCGTGTTGTGGTAACCTCCAACCACAAAATTATTTTTGTTGCTACTTCATAACTGTAATTTTGCTATTGTTATGAATCATAATGTAAATATCTGATATGCAGGATGTATTTTCTTTCACTGGACCAAATTTGGCACAAATACCTGATACGCCCAAATTTGAATACTGGTGGGGTTATGGGGGATTTATTTTGTCATTTGGGAGTTTTAGCTGCTGGGATTGATAGTTAATCTACAGTCAAAGAGCACTCTGAACTCCACCAATGATGGAATTGAACCAAACTTGGCACACAGAACTCCTATGACCAACAGAAAATACGGAAAGGGTTTGGTGAGCACTCACCTTGAGTTTTGTAGTTCATCTACATCCAGAGAGAACTGTGGGCTCAAACAATGATGGATCTGAACCAAACTTGGCACGAATACTCAATATGCTCAAATGTGAACACTGGTGGAGTTTGGGGAAAATAGACATTGACATTTGGGAGTTGTAGTTCCAGGGATTTATGGTTCACCTACAATTAAAGAGCATTCTGAACCCCACCAATGATAGAATTGGGCCAAACTTTCCACGCAGAACCCCTATGATCAACAGAAATACTGTGCTTTCTGATGGTCTATGGTGACCTCCCTGACACTGCTCGCGACCCCCCCAGGGGTCCCAACCCCTAGGTTGATAAATACTGTTTTAGAGAAAGGTACTTACATTTAATTGATTCTTCAGGCAATCAGCGAAAAGACTAAATATTACTGAGTTGGTATAGGCCAGTGGCATTAATTTTAGCCCTCCATGTAGGTAGAATTGGTTTTAAAAGGAAATCTTACCAAACACTTGTCCATCTTTTCTATCTTGTCACCAGCACACAGCATATGCACTGTCACAACAGGCTCCTGATGGTAGTGTCTTTGGTCATTGCAGATTCTTCTGTCAAATATAGTGGCATTAACTTCATGCAATATGTCAGATCCCATTTTTTGATGAATAGTTCCCCATCCAATTACTCGACACAGAGTTCCTGGCCTGATGTCCTCAGGAACTTTGGGAAGTGGAACAATTCTTCCATTTTCAGTGAACCTTCCTTTTATTTGAATCTGAAGGAATTACAAAAGAAAACAACAACAACAACAACAACAACAACAACACTTTATACTTTGCTCTATCTCCCCGGAGGGACTCAGGGCAGATTCCAAACATAAAAGGCAAACATTCAATGCCCAAATACAACAATACATCCATACTAACAAAATTTAAACAACTCAACATATAAACACGAAATTATGACTTTCAACTAAAATGAAATAAAAAACACAGCCTGTTACAACAGACATAAGACAAAACATCAGACATTGAACAGAAACAACAATTTCCCAGTTCCTTGGGGCAAATGGATTGATCATTGCTCAAGAAATCTATTGAGCTAGTGGGATGAGCAGCGCATGGATACGGATGGTAACTATTAATCAGAGGTATAATGATAGTATTACCAACTCCTCCTCCTCGTAAGCCAGTGAGCAGAGGTATGGAAACCATTAAACTGGTACTTGAGACAGACACATATTTTGGTGCATGAAACATTTCTGTTTTACATATATGCTACACACCAAACTGGTTAATATATCTAGCACACGAAGCAGGGAGTAAAGTTACACTTTCCCTGCTTACATATCAATTTGCTGCACTTTCCCCACCATAACATCTGCTGATACCAATGAAAAGATGTTATCTTAGAATATAATCTTGCACATGAAATCCAACCATGAAGTAGATTACTCGCTATTATCAGTAAACCCACGCCCACAGCTTGGGTCTATGTATGATAAATAAATATGTCAAGTAGAGATATGCTTGGTATCATGACTCGGCATTTTATGTTGTTGTTGTTCATTCGTTCAGTCGTCTCCGACTCTTCGTGACCTCATGGACCAGCCCACGCCAGAGCTCCCTGTCGGCCGTCACCACCCCCAGCTCCTTCAAGGTCAGTCCAGTCACTTCAAGGATGCCATCCATCCATCTTGCCCTTGTCTGCTCTTCCTTTTACCTTCCACTTTCCCCAGCATAATTGTCTTCTCTAGGCTTTCCTGTCTCCTCATGATGTGGCCAAAGTACTTCAACTTTGTCTCTAGTATCTTCCCTCCAATGAGCAGTCGGGCTTTATTTCCTGGAGGATGGACTGGTTGGATCTTCTAGCAGTCCAAGGCACTCTCAGCACTTTCCTCCAACACCACAGCTCAAAAGCATCGATCTTCCTTCGCTCAGCCTTCCCTAAGGTCCAGCTCTCACATCCGTAGGTTACTACAGGGAATACCATGGCTTTGACTAGGCGGATCTTTGTTGCCAGTCTGATGTCTCTACCCTTCACTATTTTATCGAGACTGGACATTGCTCTCCTCCCAAGAAGTAAGCGTCTTCTGATTTCCTGGCTACAGTCTGCATCTGCAGTAATCTTTGCACCTAGAAATACAAAGTCTGTCACGGCCTCCACGGTTTCTCCCTCTATTTTCCAGTTGTCAATCATTCTTGTTGCCATAATCTTGGTTTTTTTTTATGCTGCAACCCGGCTTTTGCGCTTTCTTCTTTCACCTTGATTAGAAGGCTCCTCAGCTCCTCCTCGCTTTCGGCCATCAGAGTGGTGTCATCTGCATATCTGAGGTTGTTAATGTTTCTTCCAGCAATTTTTCACCCAGCTTTGCATTCATCAAGCCCCGCACATCGCATGATGTGTTCTGCATACAAGTTAAAAAGGTTGGGTGAGAGTATGCAGCCTTGCCGTACGCCTTTCCCAATCTTGAACCAGTCTCTTGTTCCGTGGTCAGTTCTGACTGTTGCTACTTGGTCCTTGTACAGATTCCTCAGGAGAGAGACAAGGTGGCTTGGTATGCCCATCCCACCAAGAACTTGCCACAATTTATTATGATCCACACAGTCAAAGGCTTTAGAATAGTCAATGAAGCAGAAGTAGATGTTTTTCTGAAACTCCCTGCCTTTCTCCATTATCCAGCGGATATTGGCAATCTGGTCTCTCGTTCCTCTGCCTTTTCTAAACCCAGCTTGAACATCTGGCAACTCTCGCTCCATGTATTGCTGGAGCCTTCCTTGCAGGATCTTGAGCATTACCTTACTGGCATGAGAAATAAGGGCCACTGTACGGAAGTTTGAGCAGTCTTTAGCATTTCCCTTTTTTGGTATGGGGATATAAATTGATTTTTTCCAGTCTGATGGCCATTCTTGTGTTTTCCATATTTGCTGGCATATGGCATGCATCACCTTGACAGCATCATCTTTTAAGATTTTAAACAGTTCAGCTGGGATCCCGTCGTCTCCTGCTGCCTTGTTGTTAGCAATGCTTCTCAAGGCCCATTCAACCCAGTTAAATGCGGCATTTTATATGCGGTTTTTAATCTGTTTTGATAGATTGTTTTGCATTTTAATTGCTTATATGGTTAGATTGTTTATATTTTTATGAGATGTGTTTTATTGTTTACCTGTGCAGCATTGCATTTTTGCTGGATTTGTCAGCCGCCTTGAGTCCCCTCTCAGGTCGAGAAAGGCAGGGTAGAAATGAAGTAAATAAATAAAGTATCACAATGGTAGGGCAGTTCTACAATTTCCATTTGAATATTTAATCCAATTTCAGACATTGTTTTCATTTTTGTGTGTGTCAGGAGCGACTTGAGAAATTGCAAGTTGCTTCTGGTGTGAGAGAATTGGCCGTCTGCAAGGACATTGCCCAGGGGATGCCCAGATCTTTTGATGTTTTACTACCTTATGGGAGACTTCTCTCATGTCCCTCTGGAGCCGACAGAGGGAGCTCAACTCACTCTCCTCGTATTCAAACCTCTGACCAGGTCTTCAGTCCTGCCAGCACAAGGGTTTAACCCACTGCACCACTGGGACTCATTGTTTTTTATGACATATACCTTACTTGATAAGAAGGAAGCTTATACAGACGGTTTTAGATATTGTGCCTTATGTTCACTTAAAAAGATTACCTGCAAAAGCATAATGTCATGTTCATATGTCAGCAGATTAAAGCCTGGATATGAAAATGTTTTAGTGATGTTTGCAACACGCTTTCCCTGTTCTCTTTTTGTTCGTGAAGTAGCTCCAAGAATAACGTAGGTATCTTCATTCCTGCAAAGATAAAAGTTGTGTAAACCTATACATTTGGTTTTAACTGGGAGTAGTTTCATTTCAGGAGTGGGGCTGGGTCATTCTTTGTTCTGAACGGATCATGAGTAAGTTGCTTTCCCCATTGCCCCCAGCATCATTCTTTGTCTCAAAGCTGATACTGGAGCAAGCACTATTGGGTGTAGGGTCCCCAGATCTGAGGCCTGGACCGGATTTTCCATTCCTTGGAGTGAGAGGTGACAAATCCCATTGTTATCCTGCTATAATTGCAATCCACCTGAAATAAGAAAAATGAGATGCAGGAGCATCCTCCATCCATTTTGTGCTGTCTTGATCTGGAAGCTGTTTGGATTGTTTCCAAATAGAAAGGGAAAGCAAATGGGCAGGAGTCATATCTGCAACATCAGAGTGTGGTCCAGATTGTAAAAGTTAATAATGGAGAACAGGCCCGTAGCCAGAATTTTGGGGGGGGGGGGGGGGGGGGGGGGGGGGGCTGAGTCTGAGTGAAAGAGGGTCTAGCCTAGCAAACCTTTTGTATTGTTACCCCAATACCCCTATGCATATGGGATATATTGAGTATGGTGATCAGATCATGATATGAATAAACATAACAGTTTAAATAATGCACCAGTAAGGCCTTTTCGTGAACCACCATGAGAATTTCGGGGGGGGGGGGGGGGGGAAGCCCAAGCCCCCCCCCCCCCCCCCCTGGCTACGTGCCTGATGGAGAACATCTAAGCTATAAGAGGCTACAGAAGTTTGCTTTTGCCTGAGTTTACTTGGAAGGGCAAGATTCTGTCCTCCCTTTTTCCAGTGCCTCTGCAAAGTTTATTGAGTGCATGTTACTTTTGCATTTTGAACTCAGTTTTGAACAACTGAAATAAGCTGAAAACAAAAAGAGAAAGTGGGAGGAGAAAGGAGAAACTGGGACCGACCCTGCCAAGTTGGGACAGTTGAAGGATTTATGACACCAGTGAGGACTGACTGAGGGCATGAGACAGTGATGCTTCACTTCTGCCCAGTCTGCAAGTAGACGAGGAACAGTAGCAAGATCTCTTAAGATAATTGCCATTGCTGCCATCTTATTTTTCTTAGAATGTCTCATTTTGAGACATTGAGATAGTTGGGGGAAATTACATTGGAATACCAATGTCTTCCACTAGCACTGTTCAATCTGCAAGCTACAGAGGTTGTTTTGTTCATTTAAGCTTCGCAGACCCTATCACTGGCAAGCATATGCTACCATGAGTTCCTATTGCAAAGTGGAACCTGATGCCTGATTGAAGAAGACCTTATGAGAAGAGATGCCAGGGGACACTTTGTAAAAAGCATGACCGCCTATCAGAACTTACGGAAAACAGTGGGCTGCTGTTAATACCCAGTTGTCTTTTACCAAAGTCCCGGCACATAATAAACGTCTTCTGCTGAAAAGACCAACCATGTATGGTCTTATAAGTGGTCTGATTTCTTCTTTTTCAGGCACATCATAACGATAACCTATGGGAAATAAATCATTCTAATAAATGGATCATATAGATTGCAGAGGGCGAGGGCAGATGTAGAATATCCCCACAGCAATGGGCTAGGATCAAATAATTAAAAAAAATCTATGGTTTTGAGTCAACAAAGTATTTGAAGTACAGCTGTGCATTGAGAAGGAGCACCTAACTGCTAAGATGTATAACTTATTGTTGAAAATGGGAATGGAAGGAGAAGAAGTTAAATAATGTATGATAAAATGGGCTCAAAATATTGGTCATAATATATGAAAAAAATCAATGCTAGAAAATGAGGACTAAGAGCTTAAAACTCACTTTAAGGTGTATTCTTAGGGCATTTTTAATAAGATAATGTATAAATTATATTCAGCACCAGAAAAATCTGCCTGAAATGTACAAAAATATGTGTTGGAAATGTAATTAAAAGGGCAGCTTTTCATCATGGATTCAGATTTACTGATGCAGAACATTTTGAAGTTAAACTTTAAGCTGAAACCAATTTTTTGTTGGGTTTGATGGATGGAACAGTTGGAGAAGAAATATGAATAAAATCATCCATCAGTGGTTCCCAACCTGTGATCCATGGACCACCAGTGGTCCCCAAGAACGAAAATATGGTCCACAGCCTAACCATTACTACACCGTTGCCTCAAAACCACATGGCAATGAAAGCGAATGGTCTTGCGAAACCCTCTTATAGTACCGAGGAAATGAGGATGTTGGGCGGGGAGAGGCTGACTACCTACGAAAGATTACTACTACCACATCAGCTCTAGATTATTAAATATGGCTTTCTGTGGGTGAGCAGATGGTGACTACTGGATGGCATACGTTCTGTATCAGAAACTAGAGCTGATGGTCTATCCAATGCAGTTTTCTGAATCAGCACCCCAAATAACCAAACTGAATCTAAAGTTGACCAAAAACTGATTTGTAACTCTTTTGGTACTAATGTTGGAGAGTGGTCCCTGGTCAAGTGGTACCTGGTTAAAGTGGTCCCTGGTTAAAAAAAAAAAAAGGTTGGGAACCACTGCATTATATGATCACAGTCACATGACCAGAAATGGAAGGACATGGCTATTCCATCACAAGAAGATTGGTTAATTAAACTGTCTTGATGATTCTGATTAAGGAAAATTGATAGGTTGTTTATAAAAGTATATGGAATTAATAATTATTTTGGGGGAATTAATGGGTGAAATGATCAAGAGTAGGAATTGAACAATAGTAGGGTTAAATATTATGTATATGTTAATTTAAATATATTTAAAAGGAAATCATTATTTTGTGAGCTATTAGTTGGGAAACTGTAAGATAATTGCCTTCCCTTATTTTGTTTTTGTTTAAAATGCATGTTTTAGTATAGTATGTTAATGTGATTTGTAATGTTAGTTTAGATGGTAAATGAATTTTGTTTTCTTTTGTAGTTTTACCATATACATTGCATCATATTACGTGCAAATTATATCTCTTAAATATATTTTTAAAATATAATAACTAAGAAAGGAAATCTGTCTAAAATTCTGGATAGCTACTGCCAATAATATACAGAAATGGGGAAGAATCTGGACAGTGAGAAACATACATAAGTATAGATAGGACGTACCTCGGTATTGTAAGGTGGAAATTGGCCATAGAAAAGCACACAATAAACTCAGGCTCCATAGTTTATGCTTTCTGTTTCCCCACAATGAGATCATTGAAGTACATAAAGCATATGAAGGAAGTACAGTTGCATTTCTTCTTAAGAGCATTCTTTTATAATCTCAGAAATATGTGTACTGGACAGACAGATCATTTCTAGACCTTAAAATTTTGTTTTTTCGGAATTTTTTTGAAATAAAACCTTAACAGGGAGAGAAAATATCATTGCTGTAGCTGTTGTCGTCTTAATGTTGAAAAGTTCTTTGAAGTTGGCTGAAAATTGTAATTCTGAAGAGCTACTTTAGAATAACCTCACTATTGGCTGACTTGATTATGACATCACTAGTCTGTTCCTCTAGTGACAGCTGGAATTGCATTATAGGACGGTTTTTCCTTTTCTAATGCTGACATTCCAATAGGTAACTAGGCCATATTAATCAGTTGTGATCTCCAGCTGTAAAATAGGAAGAACAGCTTATAGTGTATCATTTGTATAGTAGAAATGCACAGCTCTCCATAGGGGTCACAAACTGCTCAAATCAACATTCAATGTACTATATATATACTCGAGTATAAGCTTAGTTTTTCAGCCTCCCCTTTTAGGCTGAAAAAGCCTCCCTCGGCTTATTCTTGTCAAGATTATATCATATTGAGCTACTTGTTTAACAAGTAGATTCTACATACCCTTTAATTTTGAAATAATATATTTTGACATATTATTATTAATAATAATATACTTTATTTATATTCTGCTCCATCTCACCAAGGGGACTCAGGGTGGATTATGGCAAACATCCAATGTTGTTAATCAATTAATGGACAGACAATACATAAACAGAGGTAAATTCAGCTTTCCCATCTTTTTCTATTTCTGTATTTCTATGCTGCCTTTCTCAGCCCGAAGGCGACTCAAGGCGGCTCACAATTGGCAGCAATTCAGTGCTACAACTGTCATAAAACAGAATTAAATACATGCAGCACACATTATAAAAAACATATAAAATCATTAAAAACATATTATCAGTCAAGGAAGCTATAGCTCTGGGCTTGGAAGATCTGAGCAGTGCAGCTGATGACTGAGCATCTTGGAGGTCTCTTACTTAAAGTCACCATGAATCAAAACAGAATTTATAGCAAAACAACAATGATAATTTCCCTTATGAGACAGCATGAATGATAAGTTTTATGTTTTTCAGGTGAAAGCCCCTTTCTAGCATATTTGGAAAACTCATTTAGTGAAAATACAGGCAAGGACTTTTTTGATATCTTTGGAATTCCTTGCTAAGAGAGACAAAATTGATTCTTTCCTCCTTCCAATAACAACCAAAAAGCCTTTTATTGAGGGGTGTCTGTTTTTAATTGTGTTTTTTCACCTTTTTAATTTATTTTCCCTTTTAAGTTGTGTTTGCATTAACTGCTTTTTGGCAGAAAGCTTAGCTATAGTACTCTTGTGTTAATACCTCCTTCTAGATTTGCAATGTCCCAGCCCTGGAGGCATTCCTTCTCCACATCCATACAGTATTGTCAATATATTTTGCAGTGATATACTGGATGACAGTAAAGATACTGAAAGGCAGAGGTGGTCCTGGTCAGGGAATTAGGATTCAGCCTGTGCTGGATATGGTGGTTATACTTCTGCTGAAGACACAAGTTCACAGTTTGGATGTATTCCTGAAATCAGGATGGTCAGGCTTCTTTATTTGCTCAATTAAGCTGGTGTACCAGCTGCAGTTGTTCCTTGAGACATCTGATCTGGAATATCTGACTGTTTTTAAACATTGTTGATTGTTTTGTTCTCAGTTCATATATATATATATATATATATATATGTGTGTGTGTGTGTGTGTGTGTGTGTGTGTGTGTAAAAACAGTCAACTTATCTTGATCATAACTTGAAACATTACATTTTTATTTATATAGACTAGCCGTCCCCTGCCAGGCGTTGCTGTGGCCCAGTCTGGTGATCTGGAAAATAAAGTAATGAGAAAGTGTTGGTTTCTAATATATGTAATTTCTTTATGCTTGTGGGTAAACAGTATTTATTGTTGTTTCTTTGTCAGTGTTGATGTGGAGATTGTCTGGTTTGCCTACTCTGGAACATGCAACATATAATTGTCCTTCTTTAGGAGTCCCTTTCAAATCTATGATACTATATCTCTCTGTGTGTGAATCATATCTATTTATCTATATCTATGGCTGGATGGCTCTTTGTCAGGAGGGCTTTGATTACGTTTTCTTGCCCTGGTGAAGGGAGTTGGACTGGATGGCCTTAAGTATTTTCTGTTGGTCATGGGGGTTCTGTGTGGGAAGTTTGCCCAATTCTGTCGTTCGTGGGGTTCAGAATGCTCTTTGATTGTAGGTGAACTGTGAATCCCAGTAACTACAACTCCCAAATGTCAAGGTCTATTTCCCCCAAACTCCATCTGTGTTCATATTTGGGCGTATTGAGTGCTTGTGCCAAGTTTGGTCCAGATCCATCATTGTTTGAGTCCACAGTGCTCTCTGGATGTAGGTGAACTACGATCCCAAACTCAAGGTCAATGGCCACCAAACCCTTCCAGTATTTTCTGTTGGTCATGGGAGTCCTGTGTGCCAAGTTTGGTTCAATTCCATCATTGGTGGAGTTCAGAATGCTCTTTGATTGTAGGTGAACTATAAATCCCCAGCAACTACAACTCCCAAATGACAAAATCATAATTTTTTGAGTGATGGTCACTCCTTGTGTTGTGAGACGTTTTGTTGCCAAATTTGGTGTGATTTCGTTCATTGGTTCTTTTGTTTTTAAGGTACTCATTATGCACAGAGCATATATATATATATATATATATATATATATATATATATATATATATATATGGAGCCCCCGGCAGGACTGAAGACCGACAGGTCACAGGTTCAAATCCGGGGAGAATGCGGATGAGCTCCCTCTATCAGCTCCAGCTCCTCATGTGGGGACATGAGACGGCCAATTCTCTCACACCAGAAGCGACTTGCAGTTTCTCAAGTCACTCCTGACACAACAACAACAAAAAAAAGAGTTCATATATGTTTTTAGCCACATACTTATTATGTCTTTCTGTTTTTTTTTAACTGTCTTGTTTTCCAGTTCAGGAGAAAGAAAGAAAATAAATGAGATGATGCATACATGGGGTGATTTTCATTTGTGAACTAAAGTGAGATAGTGTGTGTAAGAAACTGTGTCTGTGTAGAGTTCCAGGAAAGAGGGCATTTTTTGGGGGAACTATCTAAATTCAAGGACCAAGATCTAATTGCTAATCAAATTGTTGTAACACAAAAGGCCAGGAGATTCATGTCCATTGCACAGTATCCAATTAACACACAGGGATGGAGGGTAAAAACAAAGCTTTTATTCAGTTTTTGCAGAAATGGGTGCTTGACCATCATTCATAAAGCAAGCATACACATTTATCCATTTACAAGTCTTCTTGAAACTTTTCGAACTAACCACACTTTATCTCTGCAATCGACCCTGACATTAATAGATTAGTCATATTTTGCTTGTGAAATAGCATCTTCTCTCACTTCTAGAGTTAGACCTAATATCTAAAATAATCCTGACCAAGTAGCATCTAAATACCAGTATCTATTCTAACCTAGTTTCATACCTTCCATCATTTTACAGATGAAAACCAGGATATGTGTGGCAAACCAACATCAACATGTGGTTACATGGGTAACAAATTATTAATAAGGAAGGATCTACAATCCAGAAAAGGCTATGACAGTTTCCTTTTGCCTGAGCCCATTGGAAAAGGCATACATTGACTTCTTTCCACTTCAGCCCTGACTATGCGGAGCGCAAGCTAGTTTTACACTTCAAGCCTAATTTCCAGCAATTGAAATAAGCCAAGGATCAAGGAGGAGGAGGAGGAGTGGATAGAACCTGGGACAATTGAAAAGCAACTGAAAAAGTGGGATGACATAGTATAATCAGGACTGTCTCTGCCAAATACATTGTTTCTGTCTCTGCCAAATACATTGTTTCTCTTAAAGCCTTTAAACTCAATACTTAGTCAGTACTTTCACCAGAGGCAGCATTAAGACTTCCTGGTGCTTTTATGAAAGAGATGTCATATTACGTTGAAATACTGAGATATCAAACCCCTGAAATTCCATAGAAGGGAAAGATGAAGAAACTTAAAAATGTGTTCTTTTTAATGTATAGCTAAGTCTTTTATAAATTGCACGTACATTTCGAATATGATTCCCATAAGGAATTTCTCTTTCCACTGGTAGCCCTGATGCCTAAATATTTGATTTACATTGATGTACTGCACCTCAGAGGTTATGTTTCTTGCTTTGTCATGTTTTTACAGTCAGATCTTGAATGCAGCATAAAGAAATTGGGGTTTTTGGCTTCTTCTGTGGTTTGAATTCAAAGAATGTGGGGAAAATTATATTCTTTTGATGTTGAATAAAGAAATTACAGAGAAACAGTGCTGCTAAGAACAGGAAGTTTCACATTCAGTTTTGTTTATGTTTGCAGATAGGACTGAGTGATGGATGGAGGGGAGAGACAAAGTTGAATCTTCTCACTACATGTGTATCAAATGTACTACTTCTCCGCTCCTTACAATTGTAGTTGCAATGGAGTGAGCACCATGGATAATCATGGCTTGTTCGAAATGAAGAAGATCCATTAAAACTATCACCGAATTGTTTTATGTTCACTTATTAACTGAATGGGTCTTCTTCAGGTGACACTAGGAAGGAACTGGCAAAATCTTCTCTCTTTAGTTCTTGTCCAAGGAAGCCCTATGAAAAGACATTTGTGTGTGCCTTCAAGTTAATTGTTGACTTTTGGCAACCCTGTGGATGTCATGGGGTTTTTGCACAAATTCATGGGGTTGTCATAAGACATGCATATATATACACAAGCACACCCAAGGGTTTCATCAGTGGTGCACAGCATGTGGCCCTCCAGGTAAAGGAAGTACATCAAATCAGCAAACCAATTCTATTATGCAGGTGATAGGCTACAGCTGAAGCACCTGGCAGGATATTACAAGGATGAACAATACATGCGCAAACAAAAGAAGTGAAGAATCTTTAAAGAAATTTATGATTAAAAAATTAATAATCTACAAGTCACCCCCTGTGGTTTTCCTTATCCATTCGAGATGAGCCTTTCTGAGAAGAGCATAAACACCAGGGAACTGTTTACTTCCACATGACTTCGGCTTTCCAAATGAGATCACAGCATTTTGTACCCCGTTGCATATCAAAGGACCACCAGAGTCACCCTGGTTTAAAAAAAAGGAAGGTGGGAAATTCACGTTACTATTCACAGACATAGATAGAGCCACTGTTTACAAAGATCATACATTGCAACAATATCATTAGGATAATGCTAAAAATGTAAAAACAACATTTATTTTTCTGAGTGCCTCCTTCTGTCCATTTACTAAGGATGGTTTTGCACAAGTCTTAGAAACAAGTTGTAAACCTTTCTTGGCTGAGAAGGAAGCCTGCCTTCCTAGCCCCTCGTCTGACTGCATAAACCCTTTTTAAATGTGCTTCAAACACTTTCAATTTATCATTCAGGCAGGGATGTGACTAAGTTCTCCCAATCTGTCTTTATAACCCTTTTGTTTACTTTTTAATAGAAGAACTGCACAATTTCCATAGTTCACAAGTTCAAAGTTGTGCATTCCTTGAACTCCCACATTTCCATGTTTTTGAAGGTCTGGTGTTACAAATCTTTATTTATTTAAATAAGCATTTTGAAATATTAAACATTTTTGGTTTTGTGTCTATTTGGCATTTGGAAGGTGTCCTTTAATCCCCCCCCCCCCACTTTTGTAACAAGGCCAAAGCACACACGAGTGGGATGTTAAAACCACTACATCATACTGGTACTGGCACCCAAACTGACCATGGCTTTGTTTTGAAAAGTAGTCTTTTTAAAACATGTCAAAGCCACATGGAACATGCACAGGTTCCCTAAAAGCCTGCTAATGATCCACGAGACATTAAAAGTATAATTTCCATTTTGTACCAGAGCTTTAAAGCACCACATAGGAAATTATGCCACTGATGCTTTCTGCAGCACTAAGGACATTTTGGAAGAATGTTACATGGATTTCAGTTTGCATAAAGACTGAACTATAATCTATTCTCCACATTGGTGGGTTTCACTTTTGCAGATTTGATTTGCAGATTTCATTAATATGTTCTGTCTAGTAGTCCCTAGTTCCTCTAATATGATTTCTTTCTGACAGAAGGTGACCATAGTGTTTCTGGCAGAAGGTGATCATAGTGTTGAATTGGAGCTAGAGATTCCGAGAGAGAGAGCACTCCTTTAGGCATTTGTACTTCCTATGGTGTGATTCTATGTTCAATGCCCTAGAGATTCCAAGACAGGTTAAAAAAAATAGTGTTTTTTTTTAATTTTGTGGAGTCCTGCACCTCTTATCCCAGAGAATGTGGAAGAGTTGACTGTACAAAGCAAAACAGAAGTAATTTTTCAGGAGCAAAGGCTTTCACAAGATATTTCACATTTTTGCCCTACAATAGTGCTGAATTGCTAAATAAACATTCTTACCGCGCAGGAATCCTTCCCTCCTTTCTTGTCACCAGCACACACCATATTCATTGTTATCACAGGGTTGGAATTATAGTGTTTGTTGTCATTGCAGAGCCTTCTTTCAATGACAGTGACATTCACTTCCCGTAGTGTATCAGATGGCTTTTTGTCTCCATTGCGAATAATTCCCCAGCCAGCTACAAGACACTGAGTACCAGTCTTGATGTCGGCGGCAAGTCTGGTGAGCTTGACTGTGGCTACTTGTTTTGTAATCTTGGCTGAACTGTTAAGCTTAATTGGAGTGAGATGGGAAAGAAAGAGAAAAACAATAACAATGACAAAGAAGCCCAGATTCAGTCTCCACTTAGCTATGACACCCATGAAGTCACCATGCTGACAAACCCTGAATCACAATATACCATTTTTCCTAATAATAATAATAATAATAATAATAATAATAATAATACCTTTATTTATATACTGCTCCATCTCCCCGAGGGGACTCAGAGCGGTTCCCAAGTAATATCACAAAACATACAGAGTAAAAACAACATAACCATAAGATTAACAAACAAAATATAAGCATAAAAATTGTCGCCATAACACACATATATTAAAAGTAATCCTGCCTGTTCAAGGCAATTAAAAATTTAAAAGGCTGGGCCAAGATTTGTGCAAGCCCAAAAATTCTAGGGGGCCGGGAATTAAGTGCAATGCTATGGCAGGCAACAATAATATTAGGTACGGGTCTGTGGCTGTTCATTCTGGGGCCGATTAGAGGAAAGAATCTGGGTAACTGGTAGGAAGAATAAGGCCGTATTAGACATATATACCTGTAACAGCATTAGGTCATTATCTTTTGCTTCTTCATTGAAGCATGGGTAACGAAACCATTTAGTCACTGCAAAGTTCTGCTTTGAAGGCTCTGCTTTCTTCAGTGAATGAGCTCCAAGAATTACTTTGGTGTTTTTTCCACTACAAAAGTAAAGAGGACAAATCAGAAGACAAACTAAGTGCATTCTGAACAAGTGTATAATATTAATGTGTTGCTGGGATTCTTATTTATGCTCCTTTTAGTGCAGCATAAGTTACATCAATGCATGTAGCATTAGAAGAAAGAATGGTACTGCAGGCAGATGGCCATGAAAGAAGTAAGGCACAGGAGATGAGGAAGTAGCTTACTAGAGGAAGTAGTTTGCTGGAAGCTGGGAGATCTCACCAAGGCTGTAGAACCCTGTTGGATTTGTGTTGGGCTTATAACTGCACAATAAGAATCGATGGCTTGAGAGGGTTATGTGTTTGCCATCTGTCATACTCTGGTTCTGAGACATAGTTCCTGTACCCTCTACTCCAGTGGATCCCAACACGTGGGCCGCAGCCCACTAGTAGGCCGCAAGACCTAAAATAAGGTCAGTGACTCTAGATTATTAAATATGGTTTTCTGTGGGGAAGGGAATGGTGACTATTGGATGGTATATGTTCTGTATCAGAAACTAGAACTGATGTGGTCCACCCAATGCAATTTTCTGAATCAGCACCCCAAATAATCAAACTGAATCTAAAGTTGACCAAAAAACAGATTTGCAACCCTTTTGGTATTAATGTTGGAGACTGGACCCTGGTAAAAGTGGTTCCTGGTCAAGTGGTCCCTGGTCAAAGTATTCCCTGGTCAAGTGATCCATCGCCAAAGTGGTCCCTGGTCAAGTTGTCCCTGATTAAAAAAAGTTGGGAACCACTTCTCTACTCCATGGTTCAGGGCAGAGAGAAAGAACATCAGGATGAAAGCACTGCCTTTTCACATTTTTTAGATTATGTGTTTAAAAAAATCTAAATGGTACACTTTGTGCAAATTTTCAAGGCGTTATACTTAATGACACCAACAGGGAATGCCCATTATAGCATCATCCTTGTAACCTGCTTCCTGTGACATCCCAAAAGGCTCTTTCTAGGGATTTATTGCATGATGCTACTATCCTGCACCTTTGATAAGTAGAAACCTTTTGTCATGGGGACCATCCCTCTAGCATGCTGAAAGTTGCATGCAACTGTGAAGCTTTGGCAGTGCAAAGACCCACTGCCGCAGTTAGAGGTTAATCCACTCTCTCCTTTTGCCACTTTTATTGGTTTTTTTAAAAAATCTGTTAAAAATACTTCACAATTCTACAGAAAGAAAATAAGCAAGTAAGTAAATAATTTAAATTCTTTATACAACTATGAAGGGAGAGTAGGAGAAGGGAACAATCCCTTGTTAATGGCATACCAGTGCAGAAGCACCTGGGATCTTCACACCACCAGATAGACTGCAGCACCATAGCCTAGGCTATTCATGGGTTTTGCTTGTCAATAGCAGGGTACAGCTTTGTTGTGGGGAGAGTGGTAACTCAGCAACCGACATCTCGTATCTTCGGTTTCTATGCTAGTTTGCTACTTCAGTGCAATAAAATCCTAGATCTCAGGTTTGGTTCTGAAATCCCAGGACCATGGCATTTAGGCTCATAAAATGCATGGCATAGTCATGACCATGTATTATATGAGCCTAAAACATATTTTTGTCGAACAAGGAGCTTGCACCCAGAAGCTTATGCTAGCAAAAGCAATTTGCTACCTCACTGCATGATTTACAAACACAACAAGTGATGCTAATTAACTTAGTAAAAAGGAGACTAGGATAGATGTCATAAAATTACAGTGTTAGTGCAGATTTTTGTTAAACAATAAACACAGTAGAGCTTATTCTTCTAGCCAATGCACTTTTCTACTTTGTAGCGTGATTTGCAAACACAGCTGTTTATTAGAAAGTGGATTTCAACAATTAATACTGATTAACTTTGTAAAAACAGGATAATTTATGTAAACGTACACTTTGCAGTGGGCTGCTGTTAATACCCAGTTTGGTTTGATTAATGTTCCTCCACATTCTCCGACGTTGATTATGGCCATGTAAGGTCTTGAGTGTGGAATGGATTCTCTCCCTCCAATTATGTCTGCACACTGATCTAAGTGGAAAGAAGAGGCAAATGCATGTTACGATGAGCCATAAACAGACATTATGCTAGAGTTCATCAGTAACAAAACTGCTAAATCCTAGTAAGTACCACAAGGGCACCAAAGTTTGTTTGATCTTGGAAGCTAAATGCGATCAGTACTTGAATAAGAGACTCCCAATGAATACAAGGTGCTGTAAACTCTCTCTCTTCCTCTCTCTCTCTCTGTCTTTCTCTCTCACACACGCAATCACACAAATGCTGCTATAAAAGAAGTTTGACAATCATCAAATACAAAAAGTGTTCACATTCTCCAAGAAATATATCCCCCACACTACAAAAAAAAAAGACAAAATACTTTAAAAAATCTACTTATATTGTTTGATACATTTAAGACTGTGAACAGAACATATGTGTATCAGTTAATCTGGGGGATAATTCATACAAAGCAGTTATAGTGTGATTATTCCATTTCAGCTGCCATGGTTCCTGCAGAATCCTTTTACTAGGAGATTAGGAAGGGCATTTATAATTCTCACCTAGAATGATCCAGGGTTTCACCATATTACAAACTCCTTGATTCCATAGAATGGTTAAGCGGAATAATAGTGCTATAACTGTGTAGTGTGAATGGCCCTCAAATGCTAAGTTCTGTTGGGCAACTTGAGAGTACTTGTTCTTCTTTCCTACCAATCTTCAACCTTGTATTTTAACTTTGTGTATTGGGTTGTATGTGTTAATAATGTTTTATCGTTTGTTTCACTCCTCATCCTACCACAGGGATAGCAAAGGTAAAGGTTTCCCTTGACATTAAGTCTAGACGTGTCTGACTCTGGGGAGTGGTGCTCATCTCCATTTCTAAGCCAAAGAATCGACGTTGTCCATAGACACCTTCAAGGCCATGTGGTCAGCATGACTGCTTGTAGTGCTATTACCTTGCCGCAGAAGCGGTACCTATTAATCTACTCACATTTGCATGTTTTTGAACTGCTAGGTTGGCAGAAGCTGGGGCTAACAGCGGGAGCTCACCCTGCTCCCAGGATTCAAACCACCAACCTTTGGTCAGCAAGTTCAGCAGCTCAATGGTTTAACCTGCTGCACCACCAGGGATAGGCAGGCATTATTATTAAAACCAAAATGTAAGATAGCCGTAAAACAACAATAATCTCCAGATGCTAGGCTAGTACTCAGACAAACGACTCTTCTCTTTAAAATAAACAAGACTTTTGAAAAACTGCCTTTTTGGATTACCAGAACCTGGGGGATATGTCCAGCTCTGAATAAGATATATAGACACCCCAGCTTTGCTGTGTGCCAACTTTCCTTAGTTTTGCTCTTCCAGGCAACACAAGTTTATTATGCCATTGTTGCGCTGTCATGTATGACTAGTGGGCTGGACAGATCATGCCTCTTCCACAGAGGAGTTTTTGTGGAGGTACCAGCATTAGCTCACTTTCATGTCAAAACAATAAATGCCTTTAATGTCTGCATCAAAATCCTGTTATCCCAGCTATATGGACCAGTGTATAGTTGCTATACAGAAATCAGACAGCTAACATATAATGTCCTAACCAAACCTGACAGTTCCATTTTAAAAGGTTGCAAATGCTGAGTGTCATCCAGGGAAAGCTGAGTAAGCTGAGAAGTGAAGAACATTAAACACCATAAAATTAGGTACCAACTAAATGCTTACATTTAAATTAGATTTATTGATTTAATGATGCAAGAAAAATATATAACATGTTTATATATAAATAGAGAAATAAGAGGAATGCACACCATGTTTCATGCTCTCTAGAATGTGCTCTTTAGCCTATCTCTTGTTCTCCATCTTTCTTCTTCTCTTATCCATGTCTTTTCAAGTCCAGATTGAAAATCCAGATTTCATACTATTTTTTAGGTTTTAGATGGTATAGTTTTTAAGATCACGAGCCATGTTGGGACTCCGTTCTGAGACGAAAGTGGGATGTTGCTACTACTACTACTATTACTACTACTACTAAATGTATGTATTATATTAGAAACATGTGTAGGGAGAATCCTGGATGCATTCTGAGGAAAGGAATTTCAGTTTTTCTGATCATAAACACTATGCAATGGGAGTGCCAGAACTCAGTGTAATTGCCACTTTCGCAAACACATATGAAATGCGAGCTTTTTTTAACGAAATCCCCAGCAACTAAATAAATATTGCAATGTGGGCACTAGGATCAAAGTGATATAACTCAGGCAGTTGTAATTTAAGAAGTACTGCTTCATTATGTGAAGTGGAAAAAAAACAGAAAAACAGATGTGGTGATTGAAATCACATGCATGAAGTTTTGATTCACATCATGGATCTCATTGTAATTTTCCCTCATTTTGCAAATAACGAGAATCTGTATTTTTTGTAACAAACAGAACAAATGGCTACATTGGCTGTTTCTTTCCATAATATCACAGTGTATGCATGTTAAATATCTATAGCCAATACCTTGCAGAAAAAAACCCAAAGATAATTATGCAGCAGCACACTTACCTCTGGGACTTCTGAGGAGCAAAATGGCCATAGAAAGCCAAATGTCAAAGAGGAGAGCCATTCTTGTTCCTTTGTGTTTTACCTCATGGATCAATTATATTTATATATGATATTCAAAGGAAGTGGCTTTGGTTTCTTTCTCATGCGTACATTCTTTCCGAAACCGAGAAATCTGCCAAAGTCCCAATATGACCACTGAAAGTCATATCTTGTTCATTTCTAGGCATGAAATGTTCATCATGCTATTTCCATTAAACACCCTTCTCAATGCAATATGAAACGAAAGAGAAAGAATTCTCAAGTCTTGCCTCATAGGGATGTGGTAATAAGGACTTTCAGTGTTTAAAATAAGAATACCAAAACCACAAACAAATGTTCTAACAATGTAGGGAAGAAATATTGATCAAGATATTGCCAGAAGGGACATAGCTATAATGATGAAGCTGTTATAGGCACACCTTTTGGCACATTACAGAAGAATTTCTCAAGTGCTGGAAATTGGGACAATATGTAGTGCTGCCTCCAGTCTTCTTCTTCCAGTGAGGACCTTTACAACTTGTCGCAGGACCCTGCCCAGATCTGATGTACTGATGAGTTCACAGTTTGGATGTTTTCCTGAATTCAGCCCTAAACCTGGATGCCGAGGCTTCTGTATCTGATCAGTTAAATCTAGTGTACCAGCTATGCTTGCTCCTTGAGACATCTGACTTGGGATATCTGACTGCGATCTCTGTAGTTAGTTGAAAACTCTTTTAATCTCAATTTATGTATGTTTTTAACTACATGCTTGTAACATTTTTTTGTTTTTGTAAACTGCCTTGCTTTCCAGTGTAGGAGAAAGTAAGTAAGTAAATAAATAAATAAATACATGAAGTGATGGATGCAGGGGTGATTTTGTGAGTGTATGTGTACGAAAGTTAGAATGGCATCTTTCTTTTGGATACCACCTAAATTCAAGGACCAGCATCTAGTTGCTAGTCAAATTGTTGTAACCCAAAAGGACAGCGGATTCATACTCATTGCACTGTAGCCAATTAACACACAGGGACTGATGATGAAAACAAAGCTTTTATTCAGTTTCTGCAGAAATAGGTGCTGATCATTCATAAAGCAAGCATAGACATTTATCAATTTGCAAGTCTTTTTAAAACCTCCTAACCAACAACATTTTCCTTTCTCTCTGCCACCTGCTCCAACATTAGTAGATGGGTCATATTCTGCTGCCACAATAGCTTCTTCATTGGCTTCTACATTTCTGCAGGTAGATATCACATCTAAATGACCTTGTGTGAGAATTGGCATCAAGCACATTCCAAGGAACTATGGCAGTATTCTCAGAACAAAACAATACCAGCATTTGATAAAGCATAGCTTCAAGCAATCGCAAAATCCATGGGGCTAAATCAGCCAACTATAAGGCACAGTAGGCTTAGATTGATTTTGCCTGTCATCGCCACCTAAAATTAACTAATTGAATTAACTGTTGAATGATAAGCCAACATTAATCTCAACTTCATTGATATAAAGAAGTTACTGTAATTGGGATTAGCATTCGGATTTAGACCAAGGAGAACTCCCTGAAGTTTGCCTTGTAAATCTTTAAGGCTTTTAATGAAGCAAACAAATGGCAAGTTGGTCTTCCCCTATCCTAAAAACATGGAAAGGGAAAGGGGCTGTAACCATTCACATTGTTCTTTAAGTCATCTCATTGTTGTTTTCCCTTTTCCCGGCTCAGCTGACATTTCTTTCTCATCAAGCCAAAGATGCCTTTTCTCTATAATACAGCAGTTGAAATGAACCCAGGCATCTAAACCTCATATGAGATTATGCACTTTTCATGGCCTCTCCTTTAAAACACATTACACAGTATGATTCTATTAAGTGGTTGATAGGCAGCAGCTGAAGCACCTCATAGGATATTGCTAGGATGAACAACACAGACATAAGAAGAAGAAACAAAGAAATTTAAAAGAAATGCATAGTTTCCCTCCCACAAAAAACCAATCTACAAGTAACCCCTTGTGATTTTCCTTATCCAGTCAAGCTGGTTCTTTCCAAGACGAGCATAAACACCAGGGTAGCGACTGTCTGCACATCCTTCTCCAAAAGAAACCACGCCTTTTTGTTCCCCGTTGCATATCAAAGGGCCACCAGAATCACCCTGATAAAAAAAGGAAAGTGTAGAGTTTATTTTATTATTCACAGAAGTAGATTTGTATTTTTCTTTAAAAATATATATTATCAGAACAATATCATAAGGAGAATGTTGAGAAATGTAATCCTAGCGTTTGTACATTTTTCTAACAGTGCCATCTTCTGCCTCTTTGCTAAATGTTCATCAGAATTCTACAGTCGTGTTTTTTAATTTATTCAAAAGTGAACCTGAGTGAACGCAAAGTGACTTGCGTATGAGTAGAAATTAGGCTTGTGTTGTTGGGTGCTTTATATATAAAATAGGTATATAAAATAGGTTGCAGACATGTGTTAGAAATAAAGTCAGGACATTTTAAAAAGGATAGTCAGAAGATATATTTTTAAAAAATCTAAAAAGGTTAATTTTGCTCTTTGTGATGTCTCACAGTTAAATATTTAAAGAAGATAATAGTATATTCCAAATGTATTGCTTGTTGAGTAATAATTACATCAGAGGTTAGTTATATTCAGCCTCTGAATATGTTGTTTTCAACCTCTGATCAAAAACAAAGGAAGCTACTATATATAGAGGTTGAATCGACATTGCCATATAATGCAGTCCCAGAATGCAGACTGACTACATTGAACTGATTTATATGAGTCTGCACTGCTTTATAATCCAATTCAATGCAGTAAATCTGCATTCTGAAACTGCATTATATGGCAGAGTAGACCCAGCATGAGACAGACCAAGGGCCAGTTAGGCCAGTAGTTTCTTCATTGACAGGATGCACCTCCTGAGTTTCCAATGAGAGTTGAAACTCTAAAGGGACAATTAATAGTAAAGGTCTGATACATTTTGATATCTGTGGTAGAACTCAAAATTTTATTCTATCAACTCTTTCCATAAAGGCACCAGATTATGTCTGATTGTGGAAGCTAAATTAAGTAAGTTCTGGTTAGTACTTAAATGGGAAACCACCAGTGAATACCAGGTGCTGTGGGCCATATTTTGGAGAAAAGGACTGGAAAAACCATCAAGCTCATGGGGCCACCAAAGTCAACAGGGGATTTGAGGATACGTACACATGTATGGATGCCTTGAGTCTAGATAATTTTCTTAAGAGCATTAAGATGTCTCTAGACTAGGGCTTGKAAGCAATGAATCATGGAATCATAGAGTTGGAAGAGACCTCATGGGCGATCCAGTTCAATCCCCTGCTAAGAAGCAGGAATATTGCATTCAAAGCACCCCCCCCCCCCTGACATATGGCCATCCAGTCTCTAAACTATGGCTTGGAAGCAATGAATTATACCATCCATTGTTCCTTTTGAATAATGCAACAAAGCCCCATAAATCTTCACATGAAACAAGAACAGAGGTGGCTGGATGGTTGCTCATGACTGCTGTGTGCTTTCAGGTTGTTTCTAACTAATGGTGACCCCTCTCATGGAGTATTTTTTGGTAAGATTTGTTCAGAGGGGTCTGCCTTTGCCTTTTCTGAGGGACTGTGATTCGCCCAATGTTACCATGCACAGTGGGTTTCCATGGCTGAGCAGATATTTGAACCTTATTCTCTAGATGGATTCCACCATGCTAGCATTAATCCCCAAATTGGACACTGATTGTTTTTGTAAAGTAGTCCTTCTTTTCAAACAAAACATCAAAGACACATGGGACATGTATGGATTTTCCATAGGTTCCCAAACCATGAATATTATAATGTCCATATGAAACTGTATCTTTATAGCACCATGTGGATTTTTCCATATGGTACTTCCAGGAGCACTAGAGGCATTTTTGTAAAATAATTATAGGGCTTGGATTTTAATTTACATAAAGACTCTGCAGATTGGATTTTTGAGTGAATTTGATTGATATGTTCTCTCTAGAAATCTCTAAGGTCCTCTTGTGTGACTCCATGGTCAGTTTCTGGCAGAGGCTGACAATAGAGGTGAACCCCAGGAACTAGAGGTTCTTAGAGAGAACACTTCCTTAGGCATTTGTAGCTTCTCCAGCCTGAATCTGTGCTTGATGTCTGAGAGAAGTTGAATATAGAGTTGAGTTGCAGGACCCAGGGATTCCATGGCAGGAGTTCTCTCAGATTAAAAAATAGTGGGTCTTGTATTTCTGGATATATTTTTTTGCTTTTGTGGGAGTCTTGTGCCCCTAAGCCGCGAAAATGTGGAGGTGTTGACTGTACGAAGCAAATCAGAAGTAATTTTTTAGACCCAAGGACTGAATCACAAGGGATTTAACATTTTTGCTCAGGAAGAGTAATTTTTAAAAAAAATCGTGTTAGAAGTGAATTGAGTATAGACAGCAAGTTGCTTCTGGTGTGAGAGAATTGGCTGTCTGCAAGGACGTTGCCCAGCGAATTCCTGGATGTGTTACCATTCTGTGGTAAATGCTAATCAAGGTGGTCAGTTGAAACATTCACACCTAGCTCCAGCAGACAAAAGTCCTTTGTCTCACCCTGGTGTTTCCACAGATATATAAACCCATTTTCCTACCTCCAACAGACCTCATTACCTCTGAGGATGCTTGCCATAGATGCAGGTGAAACGTCAGGAGAAAATGCCTCTAGAACATGGTCATATAGCCCGGAAAACCTACAACAACCCATTCTGTGGTAGGCTTCTCTCATGTCCATGCATGGGAAGCTGCGGCTGACAGATGTGAGCTCACTCCGTCTGGCGGATTCGAACCACTGACCTTCAGGTCTTCAGGTCAGTGGGTCAGCAGTTCAGCCGGCACAAGGGTTTAACTCATTGCGCCACCGCAGCTCCTAGCAAGAGTAATGAACTTGTAAATAAAAATTCTTACCGAACATGAATCTTTCCTGCCTTTTTTGTCACCAGCACACACCATATTCTTTGTTATGAGATGGCGGGAGGAACCATAATGGTTGTGATCACTACAGATTCTTCTGTCAATGACGGTAACATTCACTTCTTGCAGTGTATCAGAATGAATCGGGAGTATCTTGTGAATTCTTCCCCAGCCAGCTACAAGACACCGAGTACCTGCTTTTATGTCAGCAGAAGTTTGAGTGAGCTTGATGATGGACACATATCTATTAATCTTGGCTGAACGCTTAAGCTTTGGTGGGTTAAAAGGGGAAGGGAGGAAGGGGGAGGGGGGAGAGAGAGAGAGAGAGAAGAGAGAGAGAGAACAACAATGCATGAGGAAAGAAACCAAGATTCAAAATCTCCACTTATCTATGACACCTATGAAATGACTATGCCTAACGGTTGGGCTGACTGTCTGCTAAGGGCAACTTCCATCTCTTGCTTTGTGTTCCCCAGTCATAATCTGTTAAGGCTTCTGTCTATTCCTACCAGTTGCATGCTTTTGGACATTTCAGTGGACAGCAACTTTAAGATTTGCAACTTAACTGTTTGGGAGATAAAATTGATGTATGAGAGTGCAGAAAGCAGAGAAAGAGGAAGGAAGGTATGACGTCTGTTATCCTACTGTCCCCAGCTTTGCATCTAAAGCCTAAAAATGGGACATAACAAAGTGGATCAATGATAGTAATACCAAGGTCACTCGTCCACCAAGATCTTGCAAAAGTTACTTTTTTGAAGGACAGCTTGAAGAATCCCCTTATAGCATGGATATGAGTAACCATTTCTTTTTGTTTTTTTGTCCAATGTATTTCCCATGCTCTGATATTTCAGAAATGAAATCTGGGACATATGTAACCAAGCAAGTATGGGTTACTAGGCCCATGTTGACGACCTCTGTATCACCTGCTGATATCATGCATGAATGAGTTCCGAAATATTTGCAAAATCTCACGACAATGTCTCAAATCCAATAGATTGTCATTCTTAAAAAGCACCGAAATCAGTAAGAGTTTTGATGACTAAAGCATGTTGCACTTATCTTAATGAGGCAAAATTAAGACTATTTAACAGAAATTATGGAGGTTTTAGGGCTTTATCTATCTCCCCTCTTGAAGAAAATATGCATGTGTGCATGCACATACAACTCTCTCTCTCTCATACACTCCCTCTATCTTAAAGTGGCACTGGTAACTCAGTCTGGAGTAAAAATACAGCAGCATTGGTTTCATTGGAGACCCCCTCCTGACACACATTCCTAAGGTAAAGGTAAAGGTTTTCCCCTGACATGAAGTCCGACTCTGGGGTGGGTGCTCATCTCCATTTCTAAGCCAAAGAGCTGGCGTTGTCCATAGATACCTCCAAGGTCATGTGGTTGGCATAACTGCATGGAGCGCTGTTACCTTCCCGCCAGAGCGGTACCTATTGATCTACTCACATTTGCCTGTTTTTGAACTGCTAGGTTGGCAGAAGCTAGGGTTGACAACAGAAGCTCACGTCGCTTCGTGGATTTGAACCTGTGTCCTTTCAGTCAACAAGCTCAGCAGCTCAGTGCTTTAACCCACTGCGCCACCGGGGGCACACATTCCTACTAAATAGTGAATGGAACACAAAAAAGTGCTCTCAAACTGTTGAGACGATGGCACTGCTCAATAGTCCTATCAAGAAAGAGTGCAAAGCAGCAGCAAAATTCAGCACCAGTCTCCAGAATGGCAAAGGGGATTCTGGGAGCTGTAGTCCTAAATGTACCTTTTTCAACCACTTGGAAAAATAAAAAATACTTGGTTTTTTGTTAGCAGCTACACAATATACCTTCAACAGCATTAGATCATTATCCGATGTGTTGAAAACAAAGCCTGGGTGAGGAATCTGTTTGGCAACTGCAATGGTCTGTTTCGAACGCTCTGTCTTATTCCGTGAATGAGCACCAAGAATGACTTTGACGGTTTCATTGCTACAAAAATAAAGAGGACAAATTAGAATACATGCAAAGTGCATTCCTAGCAAGTAGAATACTAATGCATTGCCTGAAATCTTATTGGTGCTCGTTTTGGTGCAGCATAATTACATCAGTGTAACTAGTATAAAAAGGAAGAATGATACCGCAGGCAGGTGGCCATGGAAGAAGTAAGGCATGGGAGAAGTGACCATCTAGAGCTTGGAGATCTTACCATCACTGTTGGGTTTATGTTGGGCTTATGACTGCACACTAAGGATTGATTGACTGATTGAGTGTGTTATAGGAATGCCAGCTGTCAGGCCCTGGCCCTGAGATTCAGCACTTGGACCCTCTACTTCAGGACTCAGGGCAAGGAGGAAAAACTACACAGGATGAAAGCACATTTTAGAGATTCTTTTGCTAACTTAAAAACATACTTTGTGCAGTTGCTCAAGGTATTATACTTAATAATATCATCAATGTTCCTTTTAACATCATTCTTGTAACCAGGACCCGCTTCTTGTGACATCCCAAGAGCTTCTTCCTAGAAACTTTACTGCACGATGCTGCTCTCCTCCATCCTTCGTGTGAACAGGGTAGTAGCAATTTACTGACATGGGGACCTTTGCTATCATACTACTGAAGCATCATGCCACTGTAATGTTTCAGCAGTGCTAGGTGCATAACATAAATCTACTCTCACACTGTACAGATTTTCTCTGTTTAAATTGGTTAAAGATAATTCAAAATTGCAGACTTTGTTTTCAAAAGGTACCGAATTCATCTGCACAAATTTTACAGGAATAAAAAAATGTGCTGAGGATTGCTTTCAAATGCTACAAAATGAAAATTTTCAGACCTTGTACTGAAGTGATTTGACACATTTTGATGGTTTTGATTTGTGATAAGATGATCTCTGAGATAAAGATGGGAAAGGCTCCGGTCTAGATGGATTATCGGCGCTATATTCTTAAGTAGTAGCAAGCTACTATAACACTAATTCTTAAAGAATTAGGAGACATTGAAGACCCTAAAAATTACAGACCTATATTTCTGCTAAATAATATCTATAAGATTTGTGCTGAATGGTAAAGTATGTTACACTTATTTTGCACAAGTTGCCATCTGAATACAGATCTAGACACATTACATTATTTTTGAATGTATACTTTCTGATTATATATTTGATTGTTTGTGTCAAATAATTAATTAAAAATAATTTTTAAAACTTGTGCTGCAATTTTGGCCTTGATACATGAAAATCAAGCATGCTTCCTAAGTGAAAGAGTGTTATTATGTGGGGAAAGGATATATCAATGGTTCTTTTTGACTTAATGGATGTAGACTACCGAGAGAGTGTAACTGTAAAAGATAGGCAGCCAGCCTGTGCAGATATCCCACCAATATTTTGGTTATCCCACTGCTGCCACCAATTAATTACTGTGACATAAAAGTAAAGGACAGACAGGGCGGACGGTATACCAAGAGCTTGGATATCCCACCTGTCTACATTGTGAGGCGATGAGGCATTACGAGAGGAATGAGAAATCAAAACTCACAAACTCAGTGACTTGTAGGTTATACAAATAATGTAAAGACAGATTAGATAATGTAGATTGTATGTAGTTAATGTTTTGTGATGTATAGAATGTAGAAGTAGTGATTTGTTTTCTTTTATTCCAAAAAAGTATTTTCAATTTTGTATTTGTTTGTTTGTTTGTTGGTATATAGATTTTTTTATTAATTTGTCTAAATAAAAAATAATTATAAACAAAAATCACCATGGAGCTTATTCTTCTAGCAAATGCACTTTTCTCCTTTGTAGCATGATTTGCAAACACAGCTGTTTATTGCAAAATGGATTTCAACAATTAATACTGATTAACTTTGTAAAGACAGGATAATTTATGTAAACTTACAATTCGCAGTGGGCTGCAGTTAACACCCATTTTGATTTGATTAATGTTCCTCCACACATGTGTTCTCCTTGGACTATGGCCATGAAAGGTCTTGAGTGTGGAATGGATTCTCTCCCTCCGATTATGTCTGCACATTGATCTAAGGGAAGTAAGAAAACCCAATGTAAGTTACAAAGAGATACAAACAGACATTATGGCAGTAGTAAATCCTTCAGTAATAGTGGTGCTAAGCCCTATGTATCATGAAGGCACCAAATCTTGTCTCATCTTAGAAGCTAAGTAGGGTCAGCTCTGGCCAGTATTTGGAAAAAAGACTTGCATTGAATACCATGTGCTGTAAGCTGCATTTCTCTCTCACACTCACACAAAAACAACACTGCTGTAAAAGAAGCCTTTTGACCATCAAGTTGGAAATAGCAACTTTCTCAAGCCTCCACTAATTATTTATTATCCATATAATTGCTTACTGTATTGTAAGTAAGTAAGTGTATGTAAGTGTATGTGTATATTGGTTTGCAATTTTCCCTAACCTCTTTGTTGTGGGAATGTGATCAGAATGGGGCATGTTCAGATTCAGGCTCCATTTTAGATTTCAGATGCCTTTAGACATCAGTAGGAACAGTTCAGCTTAGACTTCAATGCAGAAACCGTTTATTTTGTCTCTTGAGAGCATGATGTAAAGGCAAATATATTTTAAGGGAGAGTAGATGTTTTTGGGCAACTAAAGGAACACTTAGGATACTCTGCTGTATATATTTCAAAAGGCCATTTCACCAGTGGGTTTTCAAAAGGGTGATAACCATTCCTGAATGGTTATGGAGATTCACATTTTCCAAAACATCAAACCAAAAAAGTGCTCCACAAATGTATGCGAGCACAGTGTGTTTCAGGCAGCCACTTATGTATCACCTCAAAGAGGAAAATATTTTTTGTGTGTGTTTGATATGTTTAAGACTCTGAACAGATCATTTGTGTATCTGTTAATCTGGGGGCCCATCCACACAATCTATTTATAGTGCTACTATTCCACTTCAGCTGCCATGGTTCTGTCCTAGGACTTTAGACACATTGCAGAAAGTGTGTGTGTGGGAGGGGGGAGGAGGGATCACCTTCTTAGCAAAGCGTATCATGCTTTTCTGTTTTAAAAGACATAATTTTGTTTTCCAAATCCCATCAGATGCTTTATGTTCTCCCATTCTGTCCCACATTCTGAACCATCACACATGCAAGTGTTGTCCCTACCCACACCACATTGTTGTTGTTGTTGTTGTTTTAAATCAGGGAAAACCTCAATATCAAAAGCAAGATTACTATGAACCCCATCCCATTTGTGGGAGGGGGGGGGGAGGCAGGAAGCAGAGGAATTTTAAATCTTTTGCCATGATCTGCCTTTCCCATGCCTTTCTTCCCTCCATTATAGCAGTGTAATTATAAACGACTTTGTCACGATCCCCTCCTCCCAGGCTTTGCTTCCCTTTCATTATACCAGGGTTTTGTTTAAAGCTAGCAATAGCACAATTTCTATGAAGAAGGAAATGCAGCAAAGGATTAAAGGTAAAGTTTCCCCCTTGACATTAAGTCTAGTCGTGTCCGACTCTGGGTGGTGGTGCTCATCTCCATTTCTAAGCCAAAGAGCTGGAGTTGTCCGTAGACACCTCTGAGATCGTGTGGCCATCATGACTGCATGGAGCACCCATTACCTTCCCACAGAATCAGTATCGATTGATCTACTCATATCTGCATGTTTTCGAACTGCTAGGTTGGCAGAAGCTGGGGCTCACCCCGCTCCCTGGTTTCGAACAGTTTCAGCAGCTCAGTGGTTTAACTCACTATGTCATTAATTAAAAAATTACTCCACAATACTGAAACAATTCAACATGGGCAGATCTGACAGATCTCATGTGTTTTAAATCACTTTCTCTCATTTCCAGACACATTGGGAGCTCAGAAGACAGATTATCCCCATCTCCTGTCCACCCCCACCCTCTGCTGCTGCCGTCTTTCTGTACACTTCTACTACATTTCAGGGACAAAGTGCTGTGGATGACAATGAGAAGTCATTTTATGTCAAGTGAAGGGCTCTGTGGCACTTTGTCCCTGAAATATCTTAGAATAGTGGTTCTCAACCTGTGGGTCCCCAGATGTTTTGGCCTTCAACTCCCAGAAATCCAAAAGCTGGCAAACTGGCTGGGATTTCTGGGAGTTGGAGGCCAAAATACCTGAATCTCTTGACTGGCAAATTGGGGAGGGTCATTTAAAAATCCCACCTAGAATGCTCACCATACTACAAACCTCATGATTCTCTAGGACGGAATAATAGTGGAATAATACTGCTATAATTGCATAGTGCGAATTGTTCCTAGGCACTAAGTACTGATGGGCAACTTCAGGGCCCTTGTTCTTCCTTCTTATGGTTCCCTTAACCAAATGTCGATTGGATAGCTCTAGAATAGAAAACATCTTCAAAAGGAAGTACTTTGATTACCATTCAGACAAAAGACTCTTCCCTTTAAAATAATCATGACACTGCAAAAATTGCCTTTTTGTACTACCACCTCCAGAATCTGGAGGAATATGACCAGCTCTGGATAAAATATACAGCCACCTCAGCTTTGCTTTTTGAGAAGTGTTCTATTTTTGCTTTTCCACGCAAGGGAGGTTTCTTATGCCAACTTGTAAGTGTGTATTAAAACTCTGTTATCTAAGCTACATGGTGAAAATTTCAGTCGTTGCAGAGTAATCCCAAGGTTAACATAACAATTTTCTAACCAAACCCCACGATTCCATGTTAAAGTTAAACATCTTGAGTGCCATCCAGTGGAAGTTGAGCATGTCTGATTCCCACAGAACTGAAGAACATAAGGACACTCAATTTAGGCACCAGCTAAGTGCTTACTTCTATGTGAGATTTATTCATTTAACGGTGCAGGAAATAATTATAAAGTGCATAAATAAATATAGAGAAATAGGAGGAAAGCACAGTGTTTAACGCTTGCCGGCGTGAGCTCTTCAGTTTCTCTCCTCTTCTCTCTCCTTGTTGTTGTATTATTAAAGTCTTTTCAAACATAGATGTCATGATGGCAGGTTGTTGCTGTATTTCTAGTTTGTAACTTTTAATTTGTATCGTTTTTAAGATTGTGCGCTGCTTTGGGTTTCAATGCTTGGGAGAAAAGAAGGGTAACAACAACAACAGCAACAACAGAAATTACAACACAATAGATGGTATACACATTAGAAACATGTGTTGCAGAATCTTGGATGCAATTTGAGGAAAAGAAAAGTAAAGTGAGAAAAAAGAACAAATGATGTGATAGTTGAAACCACATGCATGAAGTTTATATCATGGATCTCACTGTAGTCTCCCTTCTTTTGCAAATATTAAGAATCCGTATTTTTGCAACAAACAGAACACAAAGCTACATTGGCTGTTTCATGCTAAAATATCATACTTTTGCATATTAAATACCTATAGTGGATACTTGCAGAGCGAAAACACAGATTACTATTATTCAGCACACTTACCTCTGGAAATTCTTAGAAGGAAAATGGCCATAAAAAGCCAAATGTCAAAGAGGAGAGCCATTCTTGCGCCTATCTGTTTTACCCCATGTATCGATGGCATATATATATGATATTCAAAGGAAGTGGGTTTGGCTTCTTCCTCCTATGTGCATTGCATCAGAAACGGAGAAATCTGCCATAGCTCCAGTATGAACACTGAAAGTCATCTCTTGTTCATTTCTAGGCTTGAAATGCTCATCATGCCATTTCCATTCAATACGCTTCTCAATGCAATATGAAGCAAAAGAGAAAGAGTTCTCAGGTCAGACATCTTTTTACTCAATTTGTGGTCTGGAATACAGAAGATGTTTTGTGCATCGACGATTGGTGTGTAAAAGAATTGCTATCATGGCATACATGAATAAACCTAATTTTCTGCTGAATGAGAAGTATGCTTTGTGGGAATTAGAAAGATCGGCTGAGAAAGCCACTGAAAGAGCCATCACTTGTGATAAAACAATAAATAGTAACAAGGTTTCCCAATTCAAGTTTGGAACAAGCAAACATTTCCCAAGTTAACATGCTCTCAGCAAAACAATTTCATTTGATTATTCATGGGTTTGATCGAAATTGTTCTCTCCAGGAATCCCTAGGTCTTTCAGTGTAAGCTCAAAGTCAACTTCCTTTAGTCATGCTGGAGGCACAGTGCCCAAATATCTCTAGCTGCTATTTCCAATCAGAAACTAGAAACGAGGAGATTCAAAATGCAAGAGTTTAATCTGCAGAAAACACTAAGGTGTAGTTGCCTGAAAAGCAGAGCACCACACTTGTCTGTCCTGCATCATGGGTGAAACCAGAGTCATCAACGTAAACATGCATGCATATAATCAGGGGCAGATGAACCATTAGGCAAGATACACATTTGTGTAGAGCACCACATTCCCGAGGGGCACTCTTGAGGGGCCCCGGGTGCACAGGAGGAGCAGGAGCAACAGCCCCCAAAGGGACAGCGACAGGTAAGGTCTTGCCATACCTGGCGCAGCCTCAACTCCATCCTGGGATAAGTTCTCTCCTGTGATGCCTTCAGGAGGAGGAAGATAGGCACATCCCTTTCTTCCTTCTCTTGCACCACAGGGCTTGCTTTCTCTTTCTTCACCCACGAAAGCCCTGAAAGTGAATCCCTGATCCCTCCCCCCATTCTCCCTCTCTCCTTCCTTCCTTCAGTTCCTTCATCGCTCAAGTTTTGCCTGCAGGTTGTGTTTGTGTTGGCCAGCCTAGAAAGGCTAGCCTTTGTATTTTGTCATCTGAATGCTGCCCAAAGGGTGGCGGGGGGGGGGGGGGGCTTTTAGAGAGAGGTGGATGGCCATCTGTTGGTGCTTTGAATGAAAATTTCCTGCTTCTTGGCAGGGGGTTGGACTGGATGGCCCATGAGGTCTCTTCCAACTCTGTGATTCAGTGGGCCCTCACTCACACATTTCCCCTGGTGCTTGACAGTGCTTATTATCTCTTTCCAATTTCCAAATTCCTTCACTCCTTTTCACTCTCTTCTCATTCAATTCTCCCCTCTCTGTAACCCATTCTCAAACTTTCTTCTTGTAAAATTTACTTCAAATCTTAGCACCATCACCTAGAGATTTG